ATAAATAAAATCTTTTAAAAAAATACATATACCAGATTCCCGACTCTTGGAGGGCCACAGACTCCTAGCTCATCCCCTCTGCTGCTGCTTCTGAATCAGTAAATACTCTCAAGGACAAAAGCACCTTGCACACTCAGTTCATCTTTCTGGGTTTCTACATGTAGACCTTGGCCTGGTAACCCCTCACACTCATGTTCGCTCTCCACTGCTTGCTTTAAAAAAAAAAAAAGAAAGAAAGAAAAAGAAAAAAAAACTTATATTGTGAAATAATTTTAGATTTACAGAAAAGTTGCAAAGATAGTACAGAATAGTACCTGAATAGTTCAGATAGTACCTGAATATCCTTCACTGTTTCCCCCTAATGTTAACATCTTACATAACCTGATACATTTGTCAGAACAACGCAATTAACATTGGTACATTACTATTAGCTAAACTCCAGACTTTATTAGGATTTCACTAGTTTATCCACTAATATCCTTTCTCTATTCTGGGGATAGATTCTGCAATCCAGGGGACCCCACTACTACATTTAGCTTTCAAAGTTTTTGCGAAGATTTTAAAATACATGTCTGTTTCATCCAGCTTCTGACGGAGGATGGTCCGAATCACCCCGCGTTCTGGGCTGCCCTCTCCCTTCATCTCACCGTCATTCCTAGAAGTAAAAAGTCCGTCACTGAGTCAACATAAAAATCTCAAAAGGAGTTTTCAGATTTGTTTCAGTGGAGGAGGTTGAAAGATTGAGTTCGCAACTGGCTGGCGCCGGGGCTAGAGAATGGGATGTGGGTGAGAAAACAAACCCTCTGGTGGTTTAGGCTATGACACAGCAACAAACAAACTGTAAGATCTCAGTGGCTAAACACTTGGAAGTCTGTCTGTGGCTCACACCAAGTCTGCTGCAGACTGGGGAACTGTCGGGGCAGCTTTCTCCCAAGCGGTGATTCAGGGATGCAGGCTTTGGCTCCAGCCTGTGGCTCATCCGTCTTTGTGGGGGACACTTCATCCCCACTCCTGGTGTTTCCTTCCAAGAAGGGAGAGGCCCACTGGCATAATACCCTTGGTCTTTCTCTATGCCCCTGCTTACTTGCTTGATGAATTTGGAAGGAGAAACGAGGCACGTCTCACCCAGCCCTCTGTTCTTCTCTCTCTCCTAGGAGCTGGCTCGCCTGCAGAGTGTGCGTTCTGGACTGCTTCTGCAGCTGGAGTGTGACAGGGACGGCCCCAGCCCCATTGGGGGGGGGGGGGCTGCAGTCTTCTAGCAAGACCTGTGACTACAGAAAGTCTGCCTAATTCTGCCCACTCTGCTCCATCCAAAGCCCTGTGAGCACACCTGTATAAACACAACTTACACCATGTATACTTTTTTTTTTTTTCCATCGATTCAGTCATCATCTAAAGCAGTGGCTCTCAACCCAGAGTAGGTTTGCCTCCCGGGGGGACATTTGACAATTCTTAGAGACATTTTTGATTGTCACAACTGGGGAGGCGGGGTGTTGGGCAGGGAGGAGACTACCGGCATCTAGTGAGTAGAGGCCAGAGATGCGGCTAAGCATCCTATAATGCACAGGACAGCCCCTCATAACATAGAATTATCTAGGCCAAAATGTCAGTAGTGCTGATGTTGAGAAGCTTTGATCTAAGAGGAACAAATTGCCATCTTAGATCAGCGGAAGTGACTTAGTCCGAGCGAGTCCAATGCGGAGGGGAACCAGATTGGGGTGGCTGCCTGGCTGGGCTCTTGTCTGGCTAGATGTTGTCTGCCCTGCTAACAGGCCTTACTAAACCCTACCCCACAGCTGGGATTTCAGTCTCGATGCAGGTTTTCTCAGATGACTCCAAGGAAACTTGACAGTTCTCCCCGGTCTCCTTCCTCCCTGAAGTGGTTCTAAGTCCTGGAGGTTGTTAATTACCAGCAGGACCTAGGAAAGCAGGGGGTAGCCTTTACCATTACCTGCCCATGCCAGCATCCACTGGGCTCTCCACTTCCTCTGGGATGCGGTGTGGCTGTTCCTTCCTGCCTGGGTCTGCCGCCCATCCCACCGCCCCAGCCACAGCACCTACAGGCTCACAGATGTCATGAGGATGTGATGAGGCTGCCACAGGGTCACAGGGCCAGGAGCCCATCCTATGATGGCAGAGCACCTTCCCATACTCTAGGGAGGAAGCAGGATACAAGTATGCTCTCCTCTCAGATCCCCAAACCCATCGTGGGGGGCGGTGGGGGGCTATCCATTGCTCCTCATATACCCCATGGGGTAGGACTAGCTGCAGTGCCCACACCAATGTTCCACGCAAGGCCCTTCTCCCCAACTCATGCACCACTTTTGAGCCTGATGATCTGTTTTTAATGCAGTCCTCAAGCCTAGCTCCTGGCTAGGTGTGGGGCTGGGAGGGTAGAGGGAAGGACTTCACAATACGCATGAAGGGAACAGGAATGATGCATATTGGACCCAACACCGTCTTCATAAAAATACAATTTTTGGTAACACTTCCTTTACTCTCCGTAAATGACAACCATAAATAATATGCCTTCTCGTACACTTAATTTTTAAAAATCACAATACCATACCTGAACTGTAATAGAGGGAAAAAAATAAAAGGAAAACAATTTGTAACCACGTAACACATATTTCAAAATGTCAGTGCTCAGGGCCCATGACGCTGGAAAACAATGAAGTGTCAGATACTGGCCCCTGCTTAAAATAAATCACTTAGGATTTAAGAAAAGTAAGAAGATCAGGGCGCCTGGGTGGCTCAGTTGGTTGAGCGACTGCCTTCGGCTCAGGTCATGATCCTGGAGTCCCGGGATTGAGTCCCGCGTCAGGCTCCCTGCTCGGCGGGGGGTCTGCTTCTCCCTCTGACCCTCTTCCCGCTCGTGCTCTCTGTCTCTCATTCTCTCTCTCTCAAATAAATAAATAAAATCTTTAAAAAAAAAGAAAAGAAAAGTAAGAAGATCAGAGTTTATTCTGTATAAGGAAAAAAACAGGAAAGAAAGAGATAATAATCAAAGGCTAGAATAAATATTATTTTAATCTGTGTTTTTAAAACTGCAAAAATGGATTACCTTTTGATATTTTTAAAAAGATTTTATTTATTAAAAAAAGATTTCCTTTATTTATTTGGGAGAGAGAGACAGAAATAGGGAGAGACGGCACAAGCGGGAGGAGGGGGACAAGCAGGCTCCCCGCTGAGCAGGGAGTGGGACCCTGGGATCATGACCTGAGCTGAAGGCAGATGCTTAACCAACTGAGCCACCCAGGCGCCCCAACTTTTGTTGTCTGTACTTGTGATGGAGTTCAGTCCCGGGGCCACTGCCATTCAATGCCCATTGTGAAATTGAGACACGTCTCCCCACATTGCCAGAATCACACACACACACACACACACTCACACAATGCACACACACAATCTCCCCTCCCAGAACAACTGGGTTAATGCTTCAAATATTAACCCAACAAGTGAGAAAAATTCCGGCTGTACATGGGGAAGCATATATGCCAAATGTTAACCCTGGTTTTCCAAGGGAGAGGGGAATTACAGGAAACACTCCCATTTTTTAAATTTATTTTTTAACATTCCTGAATTGTGTAAAAGTTTGCTTTCGACCAGTATGAACTTTGCAATCAAAAAACCCCCGACAGGGGTGCCTGGGTGGCTCAGTCGTTAAGCGACTGCCTTCAGCTCAGGTCATGATCCCAGGGTCCTGGGATCGAGCCCCGCATCGGGCTCCCTGCTCCATGGGAAGCCTGCTTCTCCCTCTCCCTCTCCCACTCCCCCTGCTTGTGTTCCCTCTCTCGCTGTGTCTCTCTCTGTCAAAATAAATAAATAAAATCTTAAAAAAAAAAAAAAAAAAAAGAGGGGCGCCTGGGTGGCTCAGTCGTTAAGTGTCTGCCTTCGGCTCAGGTCATGATCTCAGGGTCCTGGGATCGAGCCCCGCATCGGGCTCCCTGCTCCGCGGGAAGCCTGCTTCTCCCTCTCCCACTCCCCCTGCTTGTGTTCCCTCTCTCGCTGTGTCTCTCTCTGTCAAAATAAATAAATAAAATCTTTAAAAACAAAACAAAACAAAAAAAAACCCGACAGAGCTATTTTGAAAAACGATGTGTCAGGGCTCCCTCTGGTGTGCGTGTGTGTTTTGGTCCTTTAAAGCAGGATTCAATTCTGTGCTAAGAAATTGCTTACTCACTTTTTTAAATGCCCGGACAACTTAAAGCGGTTCGGGAGACCAGCCTTACAGCGCGGCCTGCAGGTGGCTCCAGGGATCCCGCTCGGCCCAGCCCTTCGGCTTCCCTCCGCCCCTTTCGCAGCGCCCCCCGGTGACTAAAAGCGGTACTGCGTCCTCCGGGAAGCGGTGGAGGAGGAGGATGTGTGGGGCCCTGGCAGAGGGAGCCCTCACCTCGGTGCCATTGACCGCTTAGCAGTCTGGTAAAGCTTATGGACCTCTTCTCGGAATAATTATCTTTTCAGTATACAAAATAGTACACATATGCCTAAAAGAAAGCCAACAATATTGAAGTGGTTATCAAAATGTTTATGTGTGTAATATAGTAGCAAATGTGCTAACATTAGTGCTTTCAATAACCAGTTCTAGTGGCAGGCCTGGTAACTAATTATTTTCCACGTACTGAGGAGCACATACGATATTTCAAGCTATCGGCGACAACGTGATGTGCCAGTGTTGGATTTTTTTGGTGACAAAGTCCCAGACACTGCTAGCACAATAGAAGGAAAAGATAAACCACTTAAAGGTTAGTAAAAGTCAGTATGTAATTTTTTCAGTCTTGGACTCCCTGGATTCTGCACACAGACCCTCTGGGGTGCATGGCAGTGGGCATGGTTAAGACCCCCTCCCCCCGAAAGGGTACGGGTTTGGGAGAAGCGCTCAGGTGGGTTTTTTTTTTTGGATGGGGGGTTGCGGTAAACCGCGGGGCTGGGGCGCACCGAGGGTAAGTAAAGGGAATGGCAGAGGCGCCTCCCTCTGTGCGCAGAGCGGGGACCTGCAGGCCCCTCCCGCCTTCCTGGTCCTGATCTAGTGCCTCTGGAGGAAGTTAAAGCCCCGCGTGATTCCGGGAGCTCCCAGTTCCCGCGTGTGCTCCTGCATGTCCAGCGCCCACCATGTGGCCCCTGGTCCTGCTGTGGGGCTGCCTTTTGCTCCCAGGTGAGATGGGGCAGGAGAGGGAGGAGTGGAGGGATGTGGGGCTCATGCCCAAGCTGGCAGAGAGAGGACCTCCTGAACCTGCCTTTCATTCTTCTGACCCACTGCTGCCTGATCCTTCCAGGTCTCGCCTCCACCGCACTGGTTCTCAGTCTGCAGAGGGGGGGCGGGGGCAGGCACTTGCTGTTTCTGGAACGCAGAGCCGGGTTTTCTCCCAGACCTCTGGTTCCAAACCCTTCATGTTCAGGTGGCTAGGAAGGGGGCTTTACCTCTCTCATTCTTATTTTCCTACTCTACACCCAGCCTGGAGGCAGACAAGACAACTCCTACGTGGTTGCCATGGTAGACTCTGCAAATATTTCTTGAGCCTCTACTGTTCCATTCACAACAACCCTGAGAGATAAGGGATTTTGCTGTTTCACTCACAACAACCCTGAGAGATAAGGGATTTTGCTGTTTCATCAGTTCACAGGTCTGCCTCTTCAACTTTTTAACATCAAATATCAGGATGCATCTTGTAACGGATGACAATTGTTCAAGTGACGGTGATTTTTTTAGTGGTATATAAAATTATGGTGTATCTTACATATGATAGCATCTTAATTTCAGTGAACTAAGACATCATCATCATCATCTATAAATGGGAAAACCCAGATGCCCAGGGAGGGCAAGTAACTTCCCCAAGGTCACACAGCTACCAGGTGGCAGTGCTGGAATTCCAAATCCAGGCAGTCTGAATCTAGAGCTGCCCCATCATCACCCTTCCTTCCGTATGCCGATTTTAGGGAAACAGCAACGGCCCTGTCCCAGTTTCCCTTGGTGGGGAAGAGACCACCAGCTCTTTCCAGGTCTGCCGCAGAAGGGAGTGACTGAGGAGGAGTCTTCTGGTCTTGACCCTGGAACTTGAATCCACGGAATTCTGACCTCTGTCCCTGCTATGGTTTCAGGTTATGGAGCCGTGCTGGGCCCCAAGGAGATCACTGCGTTTGAAGGCAACACGGTGTCCCTGCAGTGCACCTACCAGGAGGAGCTGAGGACACACCGGAAATACTGGTGCAAGGAGAAGGGGTTCTTCCTGTCCCGCTGCTCGGGTATTGTCTATGTGGGAAAAAATGGCCAGGAGACAAGAAACGACAGGGTGTCCATCCAAGACAGCCCCCAGACGCTCACGCTCCACGTGACCCTGAGGAATCTCACCCTGCAGGACACCGGGAAGTACTTCTGTGGGGTCTCCAAACTGGGCCCAGATGAGACTTTCCCGGTCTCTCTGCTTGTCTTTCCAGGTAACACATGTCTCTGCTTCTCTGGATGGGGGACAGGTGACACAGAAGGGAAGAGGGACGGGTGGGCCGTTGATCAGTGCCGGACCCCGTTTCCTCCTCACCCCCAGGTGTAGTGCTTGTACCAACCTCCTGGGGGGGGGGGCGGGGGCTCGGGCTCAGTGAGATGATGCCGGTCAAGTGCTTGGCCGTCATGGGAGTAGAAGCAGTGCAGCATGACCCTCGGCTGCTCTTTGACAAGGTCACACCACGCAGATCTGTTGAACTCCCTGCTCAGTGCCTTTCCTCTTTGCCCAGATGTGGAAGAGAGATTGCATGGGCTGGGGATGAAATGGGCAGCCCATAGACCAAAAAAGACTCCCTCTTTGGAGTCAGAGATATTCCTGAGGATCCTGCAGGATGGCCCACCATTGTGCAGCATCCCAGACCCACTCCACAGCGCCCCCCCCTGCCCCCCAGCCATGGCCACACTGGCCTCACCCTGCCCATGGTCTCAGCTCTCCCTTCCTGCTTCCCTTCCCCAGATCTTGAAGTCCCAAAGGCAGGTATGAGGAGGGCCTGGGATCTAGCCTCGGAGGAGGAGTTTGTTGAGCTCAGGGACACTAGGGGATTCTGGCTGGGGATGGAACATCTCTCTGGATGCCCAGAGCCCCACTGGATCTGCCGGGCTGAGAAGAGAGAAGCCAGAGATGGCCCAGGGGAGTGGGCAGCCCCAGTCTGCTGGCCAGTGAGGGTGAGGCAGGTCTTTGTATCCCATTTCACAGATGGGGGCCCAAGGCTCCAGAGATGAAATGATTTGCCTGAGGTTTCATGGCAGGAGGTGATGGAGCCAGGATTCAAATCCAGGTTTTTTTCTCACTTTGGTGTCTGCTCTTTCCCTCCCCTGGCCCCATCTTGGACCCACCCCATCCCCAGGCGGTCCCCACTGTCAGATCCCTGACATCCATGGGTCTTTATTTTAATTCAAGGAGATAGAAATAAGCGCACCAAATAATAACAGCAGTATCATAACCATATTGAACCTGTTCTCCATTATTTACAAGCTTCTGGTCTCCTCTGATTCTTATCAGTATTCAGACCTCCTTCTTACCTAGTGGGGATCAATTTTAGCTATATTTGAGGCTATTTTAAATTTTTACCTCATTTATAATTATTTATTTGTGCGTGATATGTGCATTATTATGTTCTCCTGTGTCAGACATTGTTGACCTTTCTCTGATGATATTTGGGGGTACAGGAAATAAAGGCTAATGACGGTGGTGTGCGGGTGAATGTTTAGCTGGGGAAGCTCTGATTTGCAAGGTCTGTCGGTTTCTGTGGTTTAAATGCCCCCGCCCTCCCCAATTTCCAGCCACCGGTAAGCTCACAAAATTCCTGAAAAGTAAACAGCTCTCCCAAGTCAGTGGGAGCTGTCTGCAGCATACCACTGAGTATGGTGACAGATCAGAATTTCTAGAAAAGTCAGAACAAGACAAGAGTATCCACTATCGTTTCTTTTATTCCCCATTGCCTGGAGGCTGTAGGCCATGAAATAAGACAAGATAAAGAAGTATACATATCGGACAGGAAAAGATAAATACTCCTTATTTGCACAAGATTTGATCATTTACTCAGAAAAATCAAAGAAAACCTGACCTCGTGTTAGAATAGAGAATGAATCACAGACCTGTACCCCTGAAACAAATAATACATTGTATGTTAATAAAAAATTGTAGTAAAATAAAAAAATAAAAATAAAAAATAAATAGAGGATGATGGGGACAGGGAGCGAGTCCCAGATGGCACTCCAGCAAGGAGGTAACCTTGGGGCACCCGGGGGGCAGGGGGAGGGTGGGCAGGGAACTCAGCGGTTCCAGGGGGGATTGGCCACACCACATTTCTGCCCACTCTGCCAGGCACAGAGGCTAGGCATCTCATCCTTGAGGGATCCCAGCCTCTCGGGGACAGAAAAAAGTGTGTCAGGCAGAGGTGGAGAGGAGAGGCATGGCACAGAGGGGAACAGCACGGCAAAGGCACGGAGGTGGGCAGGATGCTCACTTCATTGGGAATAGAGGGCAAATAGAGGAATGGCTGGTGCCCCGGATGGCGAAGAGGTGAAGCTGACATGGTGAACTGAGGTCTGAGTTTGAAAGGCTTTGAAAGGCCTGTAAGAAGCTTGAGCTTCAGCTCATAGACAGTGAGGGCCATTGAAACAGTTCTGAAGCAAGAAGCGATGGAATCCAGTATCCCATATCCAGACCCATATTCTAGAGACAAAACCAGTATTGGTGTGAAGAGTGGCGTGGAAAGAGCAGACTGGCAGGCAGTTGGGGACAAGGGAAGCCGAAGGGCTGAGCTAAGTGGGAGGCCAAGGGGACTGCAGGAGGGGGAGGCCAGCAATCGACTAGAATCTTCCAACCGTGACTCCTAAGTGGCTGGGGGGAGGAGATAGTGGAGACTCTGAGCAGAGAGGTGGGGGCAGGAAAGCTCCTGGCTGCCACCAAGGCAGGAAATCTGGCTCATAGTGGTGATCCTCGCCTCCCCTGAGACCAACCTCTCCCTTTCCCCTAGGTCCCTGCTGTCCTCCCTCCCCCACTCCCTCCTTCCAGCCTCTTACTACAAGGAGCCTCCAGCCCAAGGCAAAAGCTTGGCAAACTGAGCCCCCAGAATTGAGTGAGTGAATGGTTTTCCTGTCTCTCCTCCACCCCTCTGTAAAGCAGCATCCAGTGAGGGCCTGCCTGTAGCCAGACACTGCGCTCCGTGGCCCCCAGAGCCTGGGAGCTGTACGTCCGCGGAGGAATCAGGGGCCCCATGGGGTCAGGTCACCCAAGGAGCAGCAGAGCCCAGGGAAGAGGCGCAGCCTGACCGCCGGGCTTGTGTTCTGTCTGCTCCCCCCGGGGTTGGAGGGCTGAGCAGGAAAGGTAGGGCCTTGGACCCTGACCTCTGGACCTGTCCCTGCCACCCTGCCCTGCCGACCCCATGGTTGTTGAAGGAAGTCAAGGCCTGTTGAAGCAGAGGTGGTGAGGGTGGGCATGTGGCGACTTGCAGTTGTAAGTGGCCAGGACTGGAGGGGAAGCAGGCGGGCCTCTGTGTACTGCGTGGCCGCTGGAATGGGTCACGGAGTGGGCGCAGGGCCATGATGACCCAAGCAGCGGGCACGGACGGGGGCCGAGAACCACACGCGGGTGTGGGGCGTGCCTGAGACATGGTCGCCTTGCTCACAATGGCTTCATCCAGGCCTCTCTTTGCTTCCTGGGGGGTCCTTTAGCTGCGGAAGTTCTGAGAAATTGGTCCTGGGGAGGCTAGGGCTCAGGAGTCAAGGGTCAGAGGTCTGGGGAATGCTGGGCCTCAAGGGTCGGAGAAGGTGCTGAGGCGTTGCTTTTGGACTTGTAGCTTCTCCTGGTCTCCACCAAACAGTCACCACAACCAAGCAGGGGAAGACAGGGGCCAAGGCCTCTCCGTTCACGGGGACTTCCCCATACGGGCACGCAGGAACCTCCCCAGACCCAGGAACCTCTCCGTACGCGGGGACCTCTCCTCATGAAGCAACCTCTCCTCATGCAGGGACATCCCGTCCATTCACACAGCTGGACTCCACCTCCGCAGAGGACACCCATCTGCCCCCCAGCAGCAGCAGCTCCATGTCCAGGTGAGCCCAGGGTGACCAAGGTCACCTTTCAGGCCATCCCCAGAACATGAGGTGCCCTGGAGCAAGTGAGGACCTGGCACTCCTTCTTCTAGGCGAGCACAGCCTCCTGTCAGGGCCGCAGCTAACAGCACAGAGGGCAGACTCGGCCCCCATCCCCCCTCCGCAGGGCCCTTGAGCAGTGGACGACCTGAACTGCAGAGCCGGCAACCCTGTTGCTCTGGACACCCAGGCCCACCTGAAGTGAAGGGTCCCCGTGGCCCCAGTCCCCACCTCTCTCTCCCTCCCCAGCCACAGGGGCAGCCACCCCAGTTTCCCCGGCGCACCTTGCACTGGGCGCTGTGCCGAGCATGAATATAGGTTTTTTCTTACCCAACTGGAACCATAGCCTGAAGGATTGGTTCTTGGGGGTTATATATCATTGCACTCAGTTACTGACGGAGGCTTTCTGCCTGAGGCATCCAGGTAACTGCTGCCAAGTTCAGACCAGCTGAGAGCATTTCCTGGGGTTGGTAGTGGGGGCTGGGGTCCCTCCCAGTGGGACTGACCAGGTGCTGTGGTCCCCGGTGCCCTCTGATCTCTTTGGGAAAGACAAGGGACATGAGTGGGACACAGACGAAGAATGCCATGTGCACAGCATGCTACAGCTCTCTGGTGACACCTGCTGGGCTCCTTCCATCTCACCCACAGGGTCTCCATCCCAAAGATCCGCATCTTGGCCCCGGGCCTGGTGCTGCTGGCCCTCCTCCTGGCCGCAGGCCTGGTGGCCCTCGGCAGCTATCTGCTCCGCTGGAGGAAGGAAGGTGAGCAAAAGTAGAGGGAAGGGGTGGGAGGCTGAGACCTGCAGTGCCCCCCACCATCCCAGGGAGACCTTGTGCATCAGTGTGTCCATCCGAGGTATGGGCATCAGGAGCCCTGCTCCTCCCTTCTGAGGGAGCCACAGGTCAGTCAACATTAGGAAAAAGCAATTCAAATGCGTGAATGGGAGAACGGGGGCTCTTGGCTTGCTCCCATCTGTCCAAGCTCATCAATCACTTCTGTCCCTATTGATCCCAACAAATCCATGTCCAGCCTCTGCAGGTCCGGTTCCTTGCATGACTACCACAGCAGGGGGTGTGGGGCGGGAATTTGAGACTAAGCCCTTGAACAGGAAGAATACTGTGGCCTCACACCTGTCGTGGTCTCGAGAGGTGCTCAGCTCCTGTGAAGACTTGGCTTCGAATCCCAGCTCTGTGACTTTTTAGCTGTGTGACCTTGGGCAAGTCACCTACTTTCCCTGAGCCACAGCTTTTTTGGATCACAGATCTAGAATACAAGAGAACTAGAACAGAAATAGAATACGAGTCCAACTGAAGTAGAATCCAAGCCACATCTGTAATTTAAACTTCTCTAAAAGTCACATGATAAAGGGTAAAAAGAAACTAGGGATGTTAATTTTAATAACATACTTTATTAGTATGATCTTTCCAAAACATGATCATTTTAAGTTGGAATCAACATGAAACTATTCATGATACATATTCCGCATTCTGCATTTTTTCTTTTTTTCTTTTTTTTTTTTAAAGATTTTATTTATTTATTTGACAGAGAGAGAGAGAGACACAGCGAGAGAGGGAACACAAGCAGGGGGAGGGGGGGAGGGAGAAGCAGGCTTCCCACAGAGCAGGGAGTCCGATGCGGGACTCGATCCCAGGACCCTGGGATCATGACCTGAGCCGAAGGCAGACGCTTAACGACTGAGCCACCCAGGCGCCCCTGCATTCTGCATTTTTTCATATTGAGTCTTCAAAACCTGGCGTGATTCGGAGCAGTCATGCTTCCGGTGTCAATGGCTTTGTGCGGCTCGGGGGCGCCCCCCCCCCCGGCAGACACCATGGGTTAAGAGGGTTGGCCGAAATATCAGTCAGAGGAGCTGCCGTGGGCTGCGAGTTTCTGTGTGGCTTTGTTGCTTTTATCTCCTCTAATGCTCTCAATACTGTGGCGTTAGGAACTGCTCATTACAAGCACCCCCCATTTTACAGGGGAAGAAACTGAGGCAGAGTGGTTAAACAGCTTGCCCTGAGTTTGCACAGCCAGGAAGCAGCAGAAACAGGAAGATGTGTGCCAAAGCACTCTGCAAATTGGCAATGTTGTCCTACTGCACATGGCCTTGGGTGGGGGGCGGTGGTCCTGGGCCTGCCTCCAACTTCACCGTGTGCAGCCCCCAGGAAGAAATGTCAGCTTGGCCCACGTCCCCAGCTCACTGCAGAGGAGTCCGGAGGAGCACACAGGGTGGGAACATTCCTGATCAAGACCTCAGAACTTCTTAGTACCTTGCCTCTCGAACTGTGGTCCCCAGGTAGCAGCCGTGACATCCCCTGGAAGCCTGTTAAAAGGACTCTCAGGCCCCAGCCCCGGCCTGCTGTGTTAGAATGGGCATTTTCATAAAATGTCCTGGGATCCTGGATGCACCCTGAGGTTGAAGAAGCAATGTACTTAGCACATAGAATTATTTCCCCGGCTGGTTTCTGGCCCACACCAGGGGATTTCCGTGTACCCATCCCAAAAGGCTGGATCACTGCTAAGGGACTGAGCTGAAAGTCCAAGCAGTCTTCCTGCCCAACCAGTCTGCTTGCTCCCTCTGGGAAGCCCCTGCTCCCAAACACAGGGGGGCCCGTCCACCTCTGTGGGAGCTGTCACAGGCTGCTCCTGGCCTCAGGGTATGCCTGCTGGTCTCTTTCAGCTCAACTGGACGCAGAGACACAGAGGAACGAGAAGGTCCAACTCTCACACTTGGTAAGAAAGGCAGCCAGCCCGAAGCCCCAGCTCGGATGGCGGTGGGGCTGGGCATCAGGACTCCCGGGCCCTGTCTCTGCATCTCCCTACCTGTTTGTCTCTGAGCTCCAGGCAGGGCTCACTTCCCGTCTCTGGGGAATCTGTGTGAGCCCTGAGACCAGCCCTTCAGGGTACCCCTCCTCACCCTGACGGCCCAGCAGGTACCAGGCGGGGGTCTTCCCCAGGCCCAGCGCCCTCTTCCCCTCCCCATATTAGAAGCAGAGACTGTCAGAGCTGGATCCTGAGGGTCTCTGCGAGGGCTGCGGACTCATGGGCTCAGGCCGCAGAAGCCCCCCTTGTGTCCACCCCCCCTCCTCCTGCTGTTTATTGAGAGGCCTCCACCTTATTCTCTTACACACGGGGGCAGGAAAGGGGGGCTGCTATTTCGTTCTTTCTTGGCGCCAGTGAGGACAAAAGACTCAGGCCTGACCCCCCTGGGGAGGGGCTGGGACACGAATGGGGTTCTGGGCTTTGGCTTAGGAAGCAGCTGTTGTTGTCTCAGGAAGCCCGGCAAGGCCAGAGGTGGTGGACAGGAATGAGGGAAAGGTCACAGACCTGGATGGGGAGGGGGGCTGCCACTGTCCTCTGGAGGCCAGCTTGGGCCCAGCCGTGCGTCCTAGGGCGCACCCTGCCGGCTAGAAGAGGGGTGGGGGCGGGAGGGAGAACCTCTGTGCTGGGCTGCCCACTGCCACCCAGCCCACCCCCCGGGAGGGCTGCCTGGGACTGCTTCCAGCCTGCCGCACCTGTCCCCGCCACTGCTGACCCCTTGTCGGGGGGAGGATGGAACAGGGTCTCCCGAGAAGGTCAGAGATAAGACCTCCGTGAACATGACCAACTGAGAGCTTTTTTTTTTTTTCTTTTTTTTTTTTTTTAATGTTTTATTTATTCATGAGAGTCAGAGAGAGAGAGGCAGAGGGAGAAGCAGGCTCCCCGCCTAGCAGGGAGCCCGATGCGGGACTCGATCCCAGGACCCCCGGGATCATGACCTGAGCCGAAGGCAGACGCTTAACCATCTGAGCCACTCAGGCGCCCCCCAACTGAGAGCTTTTGTTTTCTTTGGTTTATTTCCCTTTGGGCTTCTTTGTAGTTTTTAGCAGGGGCTGCAGGTGGAATTGAAAGGGCTTGGGGTTTTCTTTGCCCACATTCAGGTCAAAGAGGGAAGGGGGCACTCTACTGGCTCTTCCAGAGAGCCCCAGGGGCGTGTAAAACTCGGAGGGAGGTATGAGGGCTCAGGCCAGCATTTCCCTTGCCCACAGAGCTCTTCCAGGAAGCTCCCTTTTCCTCTTTAATTGAACACCTACTATGTGCCAGGGGCTTTACCTGTGTGTCACCAAATCTTCATAACTCCTGCACAAGGTAGCTGTTATCATTACCCCCTTCTTACAGAATAAGAGACAGAGGCTCAGAGAGCATAAATAACTTGCCCCCAGAGACCCCGCGTGAAAGAGGCGGAACCGGGGCGGTGGAACCGGGGCAACGGTCCCGGTCTGCGGGGCTGGCCGCAGTACCCCGTGCTGCCCCCACCCTGCCCCACTGGTGTGCCGAGGGCTGGAGGAGTGGGGCCAACTGCTCAGCCTGCCCGAGCCTGTTCCCCTAGACTCAGAAGAAAGAACCATCCTCAGTCCATGAACATGGGATGGCGTGGCCCCTGACTCCTGAAACAGCCCAGAGGGGAGTGCTGGGCTCAGATTAGGGCTCGGCTCCCACTTCCCAAGGCTTCCCTGATTCCCTATTTTCCTAGTGCTTAGACGTAGGGGCTCTCATTTGTGAAATCTCCTTCCACTCCCCCCATTCCCTCATCCCCTCGTCCCCTCATCCCCCCAGCCCCCGTGAGGAATTCTGCTCTGATTTTCATCTTGGCCTGTAAGACTGAATGTATCGCCAGAGATGGCTCAAATGTCCACTTCTGCCCCCATCCCCTACAGCCAGGGCAGCGATAGAAGAAGGAGGGGGCAGTTAGGAAACAAGGACACTGAAAAGAAGGGAAGTGTGTGCAGCATGCCCCGCCAGGATGGTGGCAGAGGATAGAAAAAGAGCCCGGGTCCGAGGTCACGTGGTCGTGAGTTCAAGTCCCAGCCCAGCTGTGTGACACATGGCAAGTTACGTCACCTCTCTGAGCCTCATTATCCCCATCTCATGGGGTTATGCTCAGGAAATCATGAGATGAGACCCCCAGTAGGTGTCCAGAGGACAGGAGCTTCTTTCTTCGTCTTCGGTGCCCGTCGGGCCATGGGATTTACCGGCTGGGACACCTAAGGGCAGCTATGCCCTTGGGAGACTTGGCTGGGGGCCTCGGCCGGCTCCAACCTCTTCTACCCCGCTGCTGGTCCCAGGATGGTTCCTACTCACTCTGGACTGCCTGCCTCTCTTCCCTTGGCTTCCTTATCTGCTCAGGCTTATGATTTGTAAAGAATTTTTCCTCTGCGGTTTGTTATTCGGTGAACCTTTGAGGTGTTCACCTTTGTTCTCCCTGGGCCTGCAAGGAACTGGCAGCCTTCACATTCTTTCTGCTTCGACGATAGACATAACAACAAGGAAAACAAATGAATCATTCCAGGAGTTCCCAGGTGTTGAGCAGTAAAACATTTCCGTGAATATTCATTATAACCCTGAGGGAAAAATTCTTATGCCCACTTGACAGCTGAGGAGACTGAGGCTCAGAGAGCTTAGTGGGTGCCCAAGGTCCCTCTGAGATGTAGGAAAGAGGACGGAAGGGCTCTGACCCCACAGCCTGCCCACGCTCTCCCGTGGCTCCCCTCTCTTGCTGTGGCGGGTGGCCCATCACTGCTGCCGGGAATGGGCTGTGCTGACCGAGTCTCTGTTTGAGGCGCTGGAGTATACCATGATCAGCCTCGAAGCGCCCCCTGGGCCCCACGCCAGCCCCAGCCCGCGCGCAGAAACCCAGGGCCTCAGCCAGGTGTGAACGGAGGGCGTGCGGGGGGGGGGGGGGGGGGGGCGGGGGGCTCTTTCCTCAGCATCCGCTCCCTGAACACTGCCCCCTGCTTCCGCCCACCTATGCTACCATTGCCAAAGGGGCAGGCCTTTTCATTCGGGAGTCAGGACTCCCAACCTTACATCCTTTTTCCCCCGATCCAGAAAGTTCTTGAATAGCTTGTTGGTAGTCACAGTTTAAAGAGCTCTGACTGGCAGGATTCCAACACCTGCAGGCAAAAACCTGACCCTGAGGATGCTCTTGCAGATGGGGTGGGGGGATGTTTTGGGAGGAGGTGAGGGGCATGAATCAAAGCCTGGGGGTTCTGGGGAGAGCTTGTTAGGCTGTGCCCCTTAGAAGGACAGAGGCCCAGAACTGTGGAAAAGGCTAGGGTGGACCCAACAGCTACCTGGAGACCCCCTGCGGCTGAGCTCTGCTTTTCAACCCCTGACTCTTGTCTTTACAGACTTCAGAGGAAGAGGAAGCCCCTTCCCAGGACCCGGAGGGGGACATGATCCCAGGGCCTCCCCTCCACATGTCTGGGGAGGAGCTCAGCTTCTCGAAGTTCATATCAGTCTAGCGGTGCCCTCCAGGCCCGGCCGGCCGGGAATCTGAATGGCTGCATTTGCGCTAACTCCCATAAGCTTTCCTCCACAGCTTCAGAGCTTGCCTGCCAGACTCCGGGCTCTCCCCTGCCATCCCCAGGCCCTCCTCCTGCATGCCCAGCCTGACCCGGAAGTCTTTGTCAGCCCCGGGGCCTGCAGTGGTGGCCTCACAGAATGAGTGGGACCCTGGGACCTCCTCGGTATGTGCACATTGGGGCAGGGCGTGCAGCTGGAGCTCGCCAGAGCCAGGCAAGGCTCAGGAGATCTGGTCTGAGTTTGTATCCGTTACAAGAAATCCTCTGCGGCCGGGTGCCCAGCAAAAGACCCCCACCTTCTTCTCCCTTCCTTCCATCCTGACTCAGCACCACTTTCTCCTGCATAAGTGGGCGAGGAGGAGGAGCATGCTGGGAATAGATGGGGTTCTGAGTTCTCAAAATGGGACTGCATCCCAGTCCTTCGGGAGGCTGGTTAAAAATGTGACTCCTGGGCTCTACCAAGACCTACCAAAACCCTCTCTGGGGCTGGACCCACAGCTTTGCATTTCTAACTAGTGTCCGATGACTCTAATACTTGAATTTGAGAAGCAGTAGATTCAGGTTCATCCACGTTAGAGTCTGCATTTGGTGTGTGGGGTCTCCCACCTGCCCCCCCCCCCCCATAGGGGCTTCTCTGCCTAAGACACCATGACCCAGCTAGGGGCTTTCCTGGGCCGGTCCGAGTCCAGGCCCAGGTCAGGTGCGCATTGGAAAGGGGTGAGCCCAGGACTGACGGAGGGGTTACATTTCCCAGCTCCCCACCCAGCCCTGCATCCCAGGCTTTGGAAGGAGGCCGGAGAAAAGCTTGGCTCCTTCCCTGTTGAGAAAGGGTTAATTGCCTGTGGGTTGGGGTTAGGGAGGGGTAGGAAAGCACAGGGTGTGGGTGGGCATCTAAAAGGCAGGAGAGAGAGGACAGGGCAGGAACCTAGGAGGAACCTGAAGGTGACTCTGAGTCTGGCCCCCTGGAGATCAGGAAGCAGGAGGGGGTAGAATAACAGGATTGCTATTTTTTCTTTTTTGACTTTCTTTAAAAAGTGAAATGGGTGGTTCCTCAGTATACAAAAGTTAGAACCATGGCGGGGAGGAGAAGAAAATTCACTCAGGCTCACCATTCCCCCAGATAATCACAGCTGCGTTTTGTTGCATTTCCTTCCTGTTTTTTTACTCCACATCATTTGCTGGTGTTCTCTGACAAATTAGTTTGTATATACAACTTTAGATCCTGCTTTTTCCACGTAATTTTTTTTTTTTAAGATTTCTATTTGTAAGTAATCTCGACACCCAACGTGGTGCTCAAACTCACAACCCCAAGATCAAGAGTCGCACGCTCCACTGACTGAGCAGCCAGGCGCCTGCCCACTTAATTCTTATAAACATTTCTCCATGTTTTACCAACGTTTATAAATAAAATGTGCATCAGCTCTCTGATATTTCCTCACAGTGTGCCTCCATTTATTTCAATTCTCTCTCATTAGATAATTTGTTTCTATTTTTGCTATTATAAATAACAGCATGATGAGTCTTCCCACAAGGCTTGATTTGCATTTGGAGACTTCTTGTAGAAGCATTTGTGTGCATGGAAGTGCCAGGTCATAGGGTGTGAACATTTTTGACGTTACCAATACCCACTGCTGAACAGCTTTCTGAAATGACAGAAGCAATTTCACTTCCACCAGGGCCTTCCAAGAAGCATTTCTCAAAGTCCTCACCAACGTCTACACCTGTCGCTGTGGGTATGGCAGGAGGAGCCATGAAGGAATGCCCCTGCAGTGAGGACCTAGGGGGCTGGGCAAGGTAGAGCAGGTCTGATAAACCAAGGGAAACTCTCCAGAAGGTGCCAGCCACTGCCCCAGGTCCCCAGGGTTGGGTGAACTCCTCTTACCTTCTCCAGGTGGAGAGGGAGCCCTGGGTGTGAGCTCTGGGGTCTCTGCCCAGGATCTGGGCACAGTGTGTGCCCAGATGTTGGGGGAGGTAGGGAACACCAAGTTTCAGGTGGTGTCAGAGAGACCCCAAAATCTCACCCTGTGAAAAATCCCTCAGCTGGAAGGTGGTAAGAATTGGGGCTGCCCAGTGGGGAAAGAACGTCCTCTCAACCTGTCACCCGCTGCAACCAGGGCTTCCTGGGGACCAGGGGTGGTCAGCCAGGTCATCCCACTACCACCCCTTGCCCATTTGCAGACCATTGTGCCAACTAAACAGATCTATGTCTTTTGAGAGGCCCAGCTCTCTCCAAGGCAACCTAGGGTTGGCATCCTTGGGATTCCGAGTTTCCACGGATTTATCAGATACTCAAGTACCCTCCATAGACATTTGCTCACTCCCTTAACGCCCGCTGCTGCCACCGTGTGGGCCCAGTCCTGCCCTCCAGGCAGGGGAGAAAGACCATTCCTTTACCAGTTGCCACTTTGCAACCCTCCATCTTGAAACACCTTAGTTTTATGTTTGTACATACAACTTCTCTACTTGTCTCAGTATTCTGCAGTCTGGCCTGACTGGCCCCTGGCCATGAACTACTTGTTTTCCTGTTTGCTGTAAATTCTTGTATATGTGAATTCATGCCTTTCATCGGTTCTAGGAAATTCTCCTCAAATATTATCTGCTCTCCATCACTTTTAAAAATCTTGCCACTGGCCAGAATAAAATTTTTCTAGACCCTCTCTTTATCACTGCCATATCTCTTAACCTCTCCTTCATATTTCCCTCCTCATCTCTTTGTTCTGCACTCTATGTCATTTCTACCAGTTTAATACTTCTCAAATCTGAATATGCCTACAAACCACAAGGAATCTTGTTAAACTTCAGATTCTGACTCAGTAGTTCTGGGGGGAGCCTGAGAGTCTGCATTTCTAAGAAGCTCTCAGGGCTGATGATGCTGCGGGTCCAAGCACCATACTTAGGGGAACAACTTTCTGGTTCACTAATCTCTATTCAGTTGTGTTTAATTGGCTGTTAAACCCCCCAAAATTTGTCTTTATTTTCATCCTTGTATTTTTTATTTTGAAAAGTTCTGAATGGTTCTCTTTCAAACCTAACTAGTCATTCTAGAGTCTTGTTGCTTGTTAATTTTTTAATGCCATCTTTTATTCCATTAAATATTTTATACACACATAGTTTACATTTTGTGCCTAATATCAAAATTCCCTGGAGATATAAATATGCTATTGTTTATGTTGACTATCACTCATAGTGGTTTGTTCCTTTTTATTTTGTGATCTCATAATGTGAGCTCATGTTTGGATGATTTCCATCTGGGGGGCTGAAATTGAGGATACCTTCCTCCAGAGAGGATCTGCATTTGTTTCTGTCAGGGGCCAGGATACCAACTTGGGACCAGATTAGTGCCTTCCCAGATCCCTAATTTACCAACACCTCAGGTTGCCCCTGGCTTTATATTTAATTTTCCAAATGTGATGTTAATATTGTCATTTGCCTTTTAGGGTAACTCCACCTTTCCTGTCCACTCACCACGCCTCTTGGATATTTCCCTTCCCACAAGCTCAGCAACACAGTAAAACTTGTTTTATGTACAATCCCATTGTTTAAAAGCACATGGTACCTTGATCACCACTCTGCCTGAACCAGATTCTCACTCCCATTTCACAGGCACTATGTATCCCTTACATCTTTGTGTAACTCCGGGGAAAGGAGGAAGCCCTCCAAAACAGGATTGAGATTTCATTTCTTTCTACTCTAATGAGTAGAGACTCAGGGAAAGATCTGATTCAAGTTAGGAAAAAGCAGGGGGGGGGGGCAGTATTTCTTAAATTGGCATGTGATAAAATAAAATTCACAATCACCACATCAGAATAAATGATAATTCTTAAACTTAAATATATTCAGCTTAATGATAAGCTTTCTGCTTTGTTCTTAATTTCCTCATATTGTCACAGGTGAGATGGTCCACAGACCAGTGCTTGGGTATCTCTACCACATGGTATGAGGGTAGGATTATGGGGAACCGCAGAGAGAGGAAGATCTGTTTCTGGAAGGAAGACCAAACCCTGAAAAAATGGGTGGGGTGGGACCTACACACTTAGATAATTTGTGAAATTGTCAGGCATTGTGCCAAGACTTGTGAAAGTGAAAAAAGAGGGAAGACAAATATAAGCCACACCCAGATGCTGCCTACACGGCCCTTTCTCCTTCCTGGGTGGGGATGATGGTCAGAGGGGCACACTCACGCCTCACACCTGCCACATCTGGTTCTCATTGTGGCTCCAGCATGGTCTTTTTTGAGGACATCTGGCTGCTCCCATGAGCTGGGGCTAGATCTCTCAGTGGGTTTAATTACACAGATGCCTTGCGTTTTGTACTGGGGTTGCTATTGTGAACAGGGTCTTTTTTTGTTTTTTCCTATTACGTCTTCTAATAAATCATCCAGTTACTTAAAAAATAATGGCATGGTACCTTAAGTATTAATTCAACACCATCTTCTGAGCACCATTGAGTGGGGCACGGTCCCTACATCCAGAGGCCCAGAGTCTGAGGGAGCAGAGAGGACGACAGTCCCCATCAGGACGCTGTGATAAGCTGTTTCGGGAGCGCCAAGAAGAGGCTCCTTGATCAGATCAGCCCATGGAGGAGTCACAAAGCATTTCCAAGAGGTGATGATGCTGGAGTAAATTCTCAAAAATAAGGTAATGTTTGATAAGCAAACGAATGAATGCTTGTCACACACTGAAAAACTATTGGTATTTTGGTTCTTGAATTTGCTTGCCTACTACTGAATCCTCATCTGAGTGTGTATGCGCATGTGTGAGGCGATGGCGGGGAACTGGAGCTTCTGCTTAAGGCACGGATCACCTAATTCTCGTCTATCTTCCATTCACAAATTTTTAAGTTAGTAAGGGAACACCCGTCGCCCTTAGTCTGTCAGCCTACTTTGGCTTTGGGCCAGACTTAAGACACTTAAAATTGCTGGGATAGACTAGGGCCCTTATTTTGGCTTACCTGGGGGCTAAGGTGTGTCTTCACATACTCACTTAATGCAGAGAATGAAGCTGTGCTCTCCAAGGTGGGGCAAGAGACCAGGAGGGAATGAGAATCTACGAAGCCAATCTCGGCTGTGTTGTGCCTTCTTCAGGTCTTGTTTCTTCTCTGCAAAAAGGACTCTCGGGCCAACACATGTGTGGTCTCACCTCCTACGCATTGAGACTCAAACCCTGTTCAAAAGGCAGGGCATCTGTGGAATTAAACCCACTGAGAGATTTAACCCAAACTTTGAGATTTCACAGATCAGTAACACTTTCAAAATATATTTTATCAACTTCTACATCTAGAAACAAGCAAAAAAATTTAAATATCTCATCCCTTTTATAAAAAGAAGACCATTTTAACCCCAAAGAGTAGGGGCTGGGGAGGAGAATCTCGGGATAAAGGGCAGTCCTTTCAAAGGAAAGAATTTTGTCTTATGAGAAAGTCAGTGTTCTCCTTGGTATCAGGCTGCTGCTGACTGGAGACCGTGCCAGTCTGACCAGCGCTGCTTGGCAGACAGGTGAGTGGGGGCCCTGGGCTGGAAGGAGACCCGAGTACAGGGGAGACAGACTATGGTCCTGCAGGAAAAGACCGAAGAGTAAGAACCCTCCCCAATTAATGTTCCAATTTCATGCAATTCCAATTAGGATCCCCATAGGAAAAGGGTGTACTCTGACCAAATGATCCTAGAGTTCTCTTTCTAGAAAAAATAAGAAAGTATTACTAAGAAAAAATATCGCTGATCAAAGGAGTAATTGGAAACTTTTTTCACCAGATAGTAAAACATAGAGGTTTCTAAATAATTAAAACCTTGATAATAGCAATTAGATTAGATAAGTAGATCAATGGGACAAGCTAGATAGTCCTCCCTGCTCCTTTGCATAGCCTGCTCAGTCTCTCCCAGAGCTGTGGGGTCACCACCCAAACCCAGTCCTGAGGGAGGAGGGGCCAGAGCTGTGTGAGCTTTAGGGTGCTGATGCCCTCAACCACCTGGAATGCCTGGATCTCTCAAACAGTTGAATCTGGGGATGGCAACGTAGCCCACACTTCCCCTCATGGTTCCCTTTCTTATCCCATGTTCCTCCTCCAACAGTGCCTTCCTCCCCTAAGTGTGCCCCACCCCAGGCCCTATCAATCCCCCTCCATCTTTGGGAGGTAGCACACAGGGAGAAAACCCCAGCCTGAGAACCAGGAGTCCAGGGGTCTGTTCCAGCTCTGCCAATGACTTTCTGTGTGACATTGGACAAAAGCCCATCACCTCTGTAGGTCAGTTTCCCAACTATAATATGATAAGAATCCATTCTGCCCTACGAACCATATGCTACTGTGCCAGGAAGGAAAAGGAATTAAAAAAAAAAAAAAAAAACTGGTAGCAGAATTCCTCTTAGAAATTCAAATATCTTTAGTAGGAAACTACCTTGATGTTAATTTGGGGCTAAAAGGAGAGTTCCTCCACTCCCAAGGGTATGACGAAAATGGATGAGCAGTGGTTGGCAAACTTGGCTACACATTAGAATCATGTGGGAAACTTTTAAAACATATAGCTTCCCAGACTCCACTCCTGGCTTGGCAGAGGTTGGCTAGATCCTGTTTCCTCTTCCTGAGCACCAAGGAAGACTACATTTCCCAGACCCCTTTGCAATAACCCAGGGCCACATGACTTGATTCTGGCCAATGGATGTGGGCCGACTGTCCTAGCCCATAATATCCATGAGCAATTTCCTACACTCTACTCCTCTTCCATGACACCTGGGGAGCCTTTTCTGAAAGATGGTGGTGTCAAAAATGGAAAGAGGCTGGAACCCTGAGTCACTGCTGGGAGTGCAACCCAATTCCCATCAGATACGATGTGAGCAAGAAATTAATAGTAAAACTGTGTTGGGTGGTGCCCGGCTGGCTCCGTTGAAGAGCATGTGACTCTTGATCTTGGAGTTGTGAGTTCGAACCCCATGTTGGGTGTAGAGATTACTCGAAAATAAAAATCTTAAAATAATAATAACAATAACAACAATAATAAACAACTGTGTTAGTTATAGTAGTCAGCCTTTCCAGAACTTCTGATTTAACTGATCTGGAGTAGAATCCAGGCAATTGTTTTTTCGTTTGTTTGTTTTTTAACCCCTCAGGCAATTCTAAAGTGCAGCCAGGATTGAGAACCACTGGATTAAGACAGAAATACAAGTGTGGAGTTGCTAGGTATAGTCATGAAATGTTCCTTTTTCCAAGGACACCCCAGAGATGGGAAGAAGGTGTTTCAAAAATGAGAGGAAGAGGGGCACCTGGGTGGCTCAGTTGGTTCAGTGACCAACTCTTGATCTCAGCTCAGATCTTGATCTCCAGGTCATGAGTTCAGGCCCCACGTTGGGCTCCACGCTGGGTGTGGAGCCTACTTAAAAAAAAAAAAAAGATGAGAGGAAGAGGGTGCAGCAACACGGAGGGAAACAGGGGACCCCAAAGGGAAAGGTTGACCAGAAAAATATTCTATGTGCTGGGAATGATCAGGGAGTATTTCAGAGTTGGGGTATTTAATATTCAATGCTAAATTCTCATCAGACCTGTTAGGTGGGAGACATAAGTCCTTACGCTGTCTCCAAATCACCGGTGAAGTCTGCCCCACGCTCGTCCCTGTGTGAATGGATGCTTTGGGGGAAATCAAAGGAAGAAAGCCAGTTCCTTATTTGGTTGTTGCAGGGAGAAGGGAAGAGCTAAAGCCCCCTGCTGAGAATCCTCAGTGAACATTCTGGGGTCCCCTGAAGAATTCAAAGTGGGAAAGAAGGCTGATGCCTTACCCATGAAGGATTTGACACACACACCCCCTTGGTGACATCTGGGTGACATTTCAATGAGCTCTCTATGGCATGTATTGTTGAACGCCTAGAACCAATCCCAGCATTAGCACCGGGAGAGTCCATGACATTTTTATAGAGGATGAACCTAAGCAGTACAGGGACCTGCTGAAGGCCACACAGCAAGTTCTGGGTGAAGTGGAGTGGATTAGCCTTGGAGTCTCTGAATCCCCTTGGTCCCCACGAATGCTCACAGACTCCTGGATACAAGCACTTAGAATGAGCATCTTCTGGGGATGGGGCATGTGGAATGGTGGGATGGGAAATTTTGGAAGACATCACTGGACACAAGACAAGTCACTCCGACTTCCATTCCAGAATCATCTGTGCTGGGTTCCCCACTCTCACCCTGTACCAAAGTCATCCACTGGGCCCCAACCAAAGACCAATAGAGCCCAGAAGCCTTTGTTTTCACATTTAATCAAAGGAAAAGAAAGAAAACCAGTCAGAGCAAAAGCTCAAGAATTGGCTGAGGGAGGGGAGAGGGGAAGGGCAACAGGGCCGGCACTGAGCGTGGACAGTGGGGGGCCGAGTCCTCATTATCCCAAGGTGCCTCAAATACAAGCATCCAGGGAAGGAGGATAAGGTCAGAGAGGTAATGTGGTGGGCACACACCCCTTCCAACCCAGCCCTGGGCCAGGGAGTGAGTGGGGCTTGTGTAGGGGAGGTAGGACGCAGTTGAAGGGATGAAGACAGGAGAGGAGGGGCCCAGCCCTGCCCCCCAGGCATCACTAGAGGTGAAGGTGCCAGAACAGCATCCACACGGGAGATCTACCCTACAGGGTCAGGTGCCAACTCCTCGGCAAGGTACCCAGCACCCTAAGCCAGGCTCCCTCCACCTCCATCAGGGGATGCTCTTTCCTTCAGGAGATTTTGGAGGTTAACCAAGGGTAGGGGGCTGCACCTGCAGATCCTCACTGCTTCTACTTCCAAGTGCCCCAGGTGAGGTGGGAACTGGCAAAGGAAACCATTGCCTTGGGCAGCAGGAGAGCAGCTCTTCCTCCCACTCCTGGGCCCCCTGGGCTGTCGTAAGGGTGATGCAAGGAAGTGCTGGATTGAGGATAAAAAGAACACTGAGGAAAGGGAAAAGAGGGGTATAAAGGTGACTGCATAGTGGATGCAGAGCTATGCAAATGAGATGGGAGCAGGCTTGACCTTAACATCTCATTTGCATATCCTAGGCCAATGCAAATGAGATCCCTAATATAATAAATATATTTCTAACTTTGTAATAAATATTCTGTTTCTTCTCCCTCCCCTTCCCTAGGAAATGGGCACACAGTGGTTCAGGGGCCAGCTCGGGCTGAACCTGCAGCGAAGACTGATCAGACACTCAGAGAACTGGGAAGGACAGGGGCTGGCTGGTGCTGGGGGCGATGGGGTGGTCCCTGCAAGAACAGCTTCACCCCAGACAAGATCACAGAGAGGGACGAGGGCCAGATGCCTGGGGAAGTCTACGATGGCATTCTTAAAAGGGATTCTCCTATCTTACACAATTGCCCTCCCGAGGACTCGAGGACTCGACGGTGTCATATAGGATAGGGGGACACTAGGAGATGGGGAGAAAGACATCGGGGGAGGGTCAAGGCTCTGGAATCTGGGATAAGGGTCTCATAAGAAATGGGGACTAATGGGGAACCCCCCCAAAAGGGCCCCAAATAGTGACCTCCAAAGCAAAACAACCCTTTGCTTCTCTTCTCCCAAAACCAAGACTGACACACACACACCAACGGTACAAACACAGACCAGGTGCCCCAGCCTGCGGACCCTAAGCTGCGCAGGCAGAAACAGTGTGGATGGCGCCCCCTGGAGTTGTACAACAGGGAGCCGGCTAGAGCATAGATGTCCTCTGCCAAGCCCCTGCTCCATGGCCGGCTCACAGGCTCCTCTCTGCACCCATCCTCAGCCCCCCAGGCAGACCTGATGCGAGTGGGCCACCTGGACCCCACCAGAGAGACCAAGCTGGACCGTGGTCACCAACAGGGAGCCCAGACGTGCCCCCCCCACCCCCGCCCCAGGGACCATGGTCAGTAGTCGCAGGCTCCCCGTACGGCTCAGCCTTCAGCTCACCCCTCGCTGCGCTGAGCCCGCCGACCCCGGCCGGCCCTGCCCTGCGGGGAGCTGAGCGGTCCTGTCAGGGGCACATCAGAGAAGTCCGTGGAGAGACTTCGGCAGTGAAAAGCTGTGCGTGAGGGAAGGACAGAGCGGGGTCCACTTGCGGGACTCCGCCTCATTCCAAGGGAAGCTGGACCGCACTGCCCCTTGGCGGCGGCAGCTGGCTCAAGCTTTGGCTCCCGCAGCCTTCAGGAGGGCCCCAGGGGTGAGAGGTGGGAGGAGCCCCGGAATGGAGTGGGCGTGGCCAGTCCACGGGGGAAAGGCGGCTGAGAGAGGTGGCAGGGGGCAGTGTACCTACTGGCCACAGGGCCCCAGAGCAGCTTTCCTCTTCTCTGGACTGAGCATTACGGAGGTGACCCTAACACACTCCTGGGCACAGCCTGGCCCTCAGAGAGGGACATCTGGTGGCCAGTGGGCATCGGGAGTGGGCAGCACCTGGGCACAGAGGTGCCCCATGAACACCCACCTCCTCGGCAGTGCACACGCCTGTGCTGAAGCCAGATTAGGGCCCGCTAGGAGCCCTCCTCACCCAGGGAGAGCCAGACGGCCAGGGATGAGAGCTAAGGATCAGGGCTGGGGGTCATGGCCAGGGGAGGGGATGGATTCAGGGTTCTGGGTCACAGCCCGGAGGGGTGAGGTCCACATGAACAGTCTCAGTACACCCAGCTGACGGGCACCCACTGGGGCTCCGTCCGCAGCTTCTCCATGGCAGCCTGGAGCTCACGAAAGGTCCTCTCCAGGTTGGTGTTGACCAGGCTGAGGTCAAAGTAGTGCCCGTAGCCCCTCTGGATGCGGCTGCTCTCCTCCACAGTCCTCCTCAGGTCGGCCTCCTGCCGGCACAAGGGGACCTCCCGGCCATCAGTGTCCCCCCCATCACCCCCATCATCAGGGGGAATCTGCAGCCCCCCCATCTATCCTCCTCCCCAGAGCCCAGCCATGTCAGGTACAGACTCCCTCACTCCATCAGGTACAGGCTCACCCGCAACCCTGGACAGACACATGGGTGAAAGAAGGAAGGAAGGAAATAAACTTTAGTGAGTGCCAAGCAGGGCACTAACTGCTTTGCCACCCACGTAATCTTCGCTACGGCTCTGCAAGGCGGGACTCATTATTCCCCGTTTCCAATAGAGAAAACAGGTACAGAGAGGTCGCCCGGCCAGTGGCTGCACAGGGTCTGCCTGACTCCAAAGTCAGTGCTCCCTCCACTCTGACCAGGCGCCCTTACCTCCGCAGCCTGAGATGCACCTCCTGAGCATGCCGCCAGGAGGGCAATCCCGGGTGCCCCCGGCAACCGCCACCCCTACCCACTGAAAGCTGGCCAGCTGGCCAGGCAGGGGTGAGAAGGGAACTTTGAATACTGACTTAAATAAGTTCAAGGTGGAAGTTCTAGGGCTGGCCCCACTATGTGCCCAGTGGCCCCAGCTGGCTATGTTTGTGACCAGGGGACTTCAACGGGGAGCCCAGCCCAGGCAGCCTTTCCGGGGTCTGAGCGCAGCTCTGACCTGGGGCCTGAGAACTGCAGTACCAAGTGTGGCCAGCAGATGGACCCCTGAGCTCAGAGTTCTGCAAACCCTACCTCTCCTGGAGAAGGCTGCTCCTGGTGTACCTGGTGGGGAGGTAGGTGCCCTGGGGTCCTGGAACACCTGATCTGAAGCCTCTTCTCCAAGCGCTGCCTCCTCCCTCCAGCCAGCCTTCCAGCCTCCAGCTTCCTCCTTCCCTTCAGCCTTTCCCTCCAGCTGTAAATGCCCTCAGCCCACCTGGCCCATTCTGCCCACAGATCTCCCCCTGGCCCTCTGGACTCCCTTTGGTAAGCACTCTGTCCCCCCAGAATGGACGGAGCTGTGGGCCTGGCAAAAGCTCCTGCACCCCAGGCTAGCCGTATCCCTGACTCTGTGAGACTTTGGGCACTTCCCTTCCTTGCCCAGACCTCTGTTTCCACACCTATAAAGCAGGAATCACAAGTCCAACCTCACTGATACCTTGGGTGGGTCCCTCTCCCCTTCCCCAACACCACCTTCTTCCCCTCATCGGCCCCAGCCTGCCCCCTCTCCCAGGCAGCCACCAGAACCCTTCCACTGCATGTCAGAGCCCTCACCGTGAGCTGCTTGGTGGACACCCCACTCTCCAGGGCAGCCCGGTTCATGGCCCTCAGGGTCTCAAAGTCAGGGGCCTCGATGAACACCACATAAGGGACAAACTCAGCTGTTCTCAGCACTTTCACTGCCTGCAGGAAGAAAAGGGGATGGGGGAGTCTATCCCCCACGGACATCCTAGAAGCTGGGGGAAGGATAGCTGGGGGGACAGGTACTTGGAAATGATGGGGAAATGGTACCTAGGGTCCCGGGACCTGAGTCCTGGGGATGAATGGTGGAGGGATAGCTGGTAGGTGGCTGGGGATTGGGACACTGGAGGTGGCTAGAGGAGTGGGGCGTCTGGGAGGCTGAGAAAAAGGTTCTAGGTGGGTTGGGTCCCTAGCAGTAGTTGAGGGGTTATATGGGGGCTGCTTGGGAGACCAGTGCCTGGAAATATATGGGGAGTGGGAGGGGCAGCAGAGTGCCCAGAGGGGATATGGGCAGCCTGGGAATAAGCAGGCTGGGGCGGTACCTGGGGGTTGACATCCAGCACGCACACCTTGCCGGCGGCGACCACACCCCGGATGGAGTCGATACGGGTCCCATACAGGTTGCCCTCGTATTCGCCATGTTCCAGGTAGCGCCCCGCGCGGATGTCGGCCTCCATCTCCCCGCGGGACACAAAGCTATAGCCCTGGCCTTCCCGCTCCGAGTCCTTGGGCCGCCGGGACGTGTCTAGGGGGAAGGAGGGGCTGACTGAGCACAGGCAGGCCGTGTCCCACCTCTGACACGCGTGCACTTGTCCTACAGGGGCCGCGCAGCCCCTCTCCACTGTCAAAGCACTGCTGCCTTCCCTCGCTCCGTGCCCTCGCCCTCACCACTGACACACATGGATCCTGGGCGTCCATATTGAGGGAGCCTTCAGAGTTCACCGTGCCCGCCCAGCGCTCACAGATGGGGGGGCTGAGGCCCAGAGAGGGCGATGTGCACACCAAAGCCACCCACCAAGGTCAAGCTGATCTGGGGTCAGCCCTCAGGTTCCTGCCTCCAGGAGCCAGGAGCTCTCACCAGCCCTGCTGGTTCTGTCACCACACGCGGCCCTGTTTCACATGGGCTCCCAGCTGGGTTTTTAGCAAGTGAAACATGAGAGAAGGCGAGGCAAGGCTTGTCCAGCCCACCCAGGCCACGGGTTCAAAGGACAGCTTCCCAAACCCCCTCCAGCCTGCAGTTCCCCCATCAGCCACAGATGGCGCACCCCCACACGTCCCCCAAAAGTACCACTTGACTTGATGCCCATGCAGATGCCCACTCATCGGACGTGGCCCTGGCCCCCAGGGCAGCCCCGGCTCCTGGCTCCCCACCCAGCAGGGCCTGGCTCCCACTCACAGGGCACTGTGGTGCCGTATCGATCTGGATCCCACATGATGAGCTTGTTCTTCAGGCTGCGCCGGCCCACACCCTGGGCTCCGATTAGCACCAGGGTTTTCCGGCGGAAGGGAGGCATGCGGGCCACCTCCTCATAAATGAGCAGCTCATGGCGGTCAAACTCTGAACACAGGGAGAGGGTACTCATCAGGCTACTCAAGTGGCACGGGTGGGGCCGGGGGGCCAAGGATAAGAGGGCTGGGGCCAGGGACAGCAGAGAGAGAGTAGGCAGGGCCTAGGGACAAGACTGCAGCATCAGCACTGGGAGAACATGTGCACAAGTCACTGGCGGCTGGAGGGAGGGGGCTTGCCGTGTTAGAGGACAAGGAGGGGGCCTCCAACACCCACCTGCATTCTTGGTAGTCAAGTACATCATTCGCTTCTTTTTCTTTCCTGAAAGACTGCCACACAGGGTCCCTGGCCACAGAGAGATGGGCGAGTGAGGCCCGGCAGGCTTGCGTCGGATCCCAGATTAGGGGTTCCATCGGGGGGGCCCTCATACCTGAGGTGGGTGTCAGCTCCAGATCCCGTTTGACAAAGGCTTTCCGCTTCTCCTCCAGCAGCTGGCTGGGGATGAGCCCAGCGCTGCCCCCTTCCACATGGCATGCCTGAAACGGGCAGCAGTTGAGGGGTGAATGCCTGAGTGCGAAGGCACCTCCCCAGGCCCTCGCCTCCCCCACACCACACCTGGAGGCACACACCGATTGCTCACCTGCCACCAGTTAGCGTCGTCCTGGTTTACAATCTGCAGTAAGTCCCCCGCGTTGAAGCGCAGGCCCGCTTCCTTGCAGGGGATAAGGCTGTCTCTTGCAGGGTCATAGTCAAAGTGGCATTTCACAAACACCTGGCCCGGGGATCACAAAGGGTCAAGGGAAGAAGGGAAGGCTGGAGGGCAGTACCCTTCTCAGAGCAGCCCCCACCCCACTTCCCCCTCCTGAGGGTGGGGGGGGTGTCACACAGGCCACCGTCTTCCCCCTACCCTCACAAAGATGCAAGAGGCTCGGGCATGCCCCTCTCGAGGCACGCTGCCCCCAGACCCGCCCAGCCGCCTCCCTGGTACCAGCCTCCCTTTGCATCTCGAACAAAAGGACTCAGATTGCTGGAGGACACGCGGCAAGCCGACGTTGCGCATGCGCACACCCAGTACACGTAGGCAGGCCGGGGGCTGCGTGGATACCGGCGCTCATTGGGGTACCCCAGGCCTTAAATGTGCGCATGTCCCTTGCACATGTGTATGAGTGCCCACGACTAGGTCCAATGCACGAGCATGCGGGAGATGGGGGACTCCTACCGCGGGCCTGTCACCCCGGCGGCGGCCCCTTGGGCCTCGGGCTGGGAGTGCGGGGGAAGCTTGGCGGAGGGACCCACCTGGCGGGGCAGATGGGGCTCCTGGTAGCTGGGCAGGATCTTGAGGATGACGCTGCCGCTGGCACTGCGCAGGAGCTCCTGCAGCGCGCGGGGGTCGCTGCCCACCGGCTGCCCGTTCACCTCCTTGATGATGTCGCCCACGTGCAGCAGGCCTTGCTGAGCCACCATGCCCCCGTGCAGAATGCGCGCGATCACCAGCTCGCCGCCCTCCACACGGAACGTCACGCCCTGGGGGGATAGAGGGCGGGTATGATGAGGGCCCAGGTGCTCCAAGCCAGAATCTTCAAATGGGTCTCCTAAGGGACCCTCCATTCCCAGCCTCCTGGCACAGTCTGCGTGCAGCTCAGATGCACAGTGCCTGTGGTCTCCTGGGGCTGCAGGGGCCCGTCCCGGGGCAAAGCGGGTCCTATCTTCGTCCTCCGCCCTCTCCTGACCAGATTTGGTCCGCGCTGGTTATTCTCAACGCCCCCTCCAGATCCCACCCCCAGCTCTGCCTGGCGGCCTCACCAGATACTCTCCAGCAGTCTTGCGGATGCCCACCATGCGCACTGCGTCGGGAGGCACCGGCTGGTTGCTGAAGGTGGGGTCCAGGCCAGGGCTGGGGGGTGGTGTCTCATAGGTCTTTGAGGCCACAGAGTCGTGTGTCTCCAGGAGGGACTGGGGCGGTAGTGGAAAGAGGAGGGACCATGAGACAGTGTCCCATGGTCTCTTCCCATCCTGGCGCTAACGTCCTGCCAGCCCCCCTCCCAGTGGCCTGCCCCAGCCCCCACCCCAGCCCAGGGCCGGAACCTGGAAGTGGGGCTCCTGGAGGATGCGGGCCAGCTCCGCCGCGGTGCTGCTCTGCTCGGCCAGCTGGGCCAGGTCCCGGAGGATCTCCTGCACCAGCTCCAGGTTGTTGTCGCGCACAGCCTCCAGCTTGGTCTCCTCCAGCCGCTCGTGGGCCTGGTGGGGGTGGAACAGGTGACACCTGAGGCTCCCCAAGAACCCTGGGGTACCGTACACTGTCCCCTACCTGCTCAGATCCTGACTTCAGACCCCACCCTCAGCATTGCTTCTGATACCAGCTTCAGATCCTCACTCACCCAGACTCAAGCACACTCACATACACGCAAACACACCTTGCTTCCCCCTTTCTCCCTCCAAACGATGATTAGGACCCAGTTTCCAGAAGGGAGAATAGAAAGGACAAACCTGCATTCCCATCCTCTTGTCACAAAGGGTCATTAAAATTATCAAGCTGTCCCCAGCCCCCCAGGACCTTATAAGCATGTGAGTTCAAAGACAGCTTCTCCCACCTGATGGCATGGTCTTGGACATCCTGCAGCCCAGGATGAGGAAGCCAGGGAAGTGGAGCAACTTGCTCAAGGTCACAGGGACCCGAACTTGGGTCTCCAGACCTTCAGGTCAGTGCTCCCAGGTAGGGAGGGGACAAGAAATCAGTACAATTGACCCTTGAACTGCACGAGGGTTAGACGCACCAACCCTGCACTGTCAAAAATCCATATGTAAATTTTGACTCCACGAAAATGTAATTACTAGCAGCCTACTGTTGACTGGAAGCCTTATGGATAACATAAAAAGTTGGTTAACCGTATCTTCTATGTTATATGATTATATACTGTATTCTCATAATAAAGTAAGCTAGGGAAAAGAAAATGTTAAGAAAATCATAAGGGAGAGAAACATATTTGCAGCACTGAACTTTACTGAGAAAAATCCACACATAAGTGAACTCACACAGTTCAAACCCATGTTGTTCAAGGGTCAACTGCCCATGGTACCAGAAGAGGGCCCTGTACCTACTTGTTGCTTCACTGACCCTGGGCTCCTGACAAGGTGCTCTGAAAAAAGGGAAAGGCAGCTTTCACCAGGGACCAGCCCAGCAGGGAGAGTCATGTTAGCTGGGTCAGGAAGTAAGGAGTGCCATTTCAGGGCTATACATGAAGACTTTTCTCTCTGAGTCATTTGAAAAATAAGTCACCTCACCCCAGAGTAGTTCAGCATACATCCCTAAAAACAAATAGGAGGTCTGTCACATAAACTACAATACCATCATCACACGCAGGAAGTTCAACATTGACACACTGATAGAATATCATCTAATACACAGTCTCTATTTAAATGTTCACTGTTGTCCCAAAAATATCCCCCTTATAGATTCGTTTTTGTTTTTTCCCCGATGGACAATCTCATCAAGGACCATGTGTTACATTTGGTTGTCACATTGTTTTATTCCCCTTTAATCTAGACCAGATTCCAGTAACTTTTGGTCTTTCAGGACATTTTTGAGTTCAGGCAAGTCGTTTGTAAAATGCCCCACAACTGGATTTTCCTGATTGTTTCCCCATGATTAGACTCAGGTTAATCATTTTGGCAAGAGGTCTACATAAGCAATCGTGTGTCTTTTCCATGCCTTGAGACCCTGTGACTATTCTGTTCCCCCAACAATCTTTCTCTGATGAATTAGCATTCATTTATGACTCCTGCCTAAATCAATTCTTTTTTTTTAAGGTGGGGGGAAGAGGCAGAGGGAGAGAGAGAGAGAATCCCAAGCAACCTCCCATGCCCAGCACAGTGCTGGACGCGGGACTGGATCTCACGACCCTGAGATCATGACCTGAGCTAAAATCAAGAGCCAGACACTTAACCGACTGAACCACCCAGGTGCCCCAGTCAATTTTTAAAATTGGGGGTTGCAAAATGGTGATTTTCTAACTCTATTTTTCCTTCTACGTTTATTAGCTGGCATTCTACTATAAGACAGAGCTTGTCCTTTTCCCCTCCCACCCCTCCTCCCTCTCCCCCACACCCCCCTCTCTGTATCAATATGGATTCTTTTTACCCTGTGTTCTAAACCATCACCATCACTATCTTCATTGTCTCAATTTATCCCAAACTTGTGCAGTGGGAGCCCCAAAAACGCCTGTGTCCTTTTTGACATGTTCCCATCAGTCCTTGAGCACCTTCTTCCTTCTGCCACTACTTTCCCTACCCCAGGTCTCGGCTCAGCAATTTCTCCAAAGAACTCAGATTCCTCTTGGCAGGGAATGGTATTTAGAAACCAAGATCTGGGCGGTTGGGGCTCATTGCTTCTGGGGTGTCACTTATAGCCATCAGTCGATACTGATTGTTCCAATTAAAATCTAACTCTGCAAGATTTTCCTCATCTTCTCTCATTCTGTATTTGTACCTCCCTTCTCCCTCAGTGATAATTTATTTCCCAAGAACATTAATACATTTATTTATTTGTCCTGCCCTCTATTATTAAAAAATATTTCAAAATTGCTAAACAACCACTGCTACCTATCACAAACTTCAGTAAAAGTCAAGATTCATCTGCAGTTCTTTTTATCCTCAGAATAGTCTAAAAGCACTTACAGCATTTATGGAAATGTTCGACAACTGTGCTGCCCAATGTGGTAGCCACATGTGGCCACTGAGCGATACGACAACTACGACTGAGAAACCGAACGTCTAATTTTTATCAGCATTTTGGTTTACTTAGGTATTTTCATTTTAAGTATTTAAATAAATACTCACATGTGGCTCGTGGCTACTGTATTAAACATTACAGCCTTAGAATATATCTCACATAGGGTATACAATCAGAATATTGTGAGCAAAAGTAACTAGAATTAATTCCCTTTTCTGTATGGTTATGCTAACAATTTAATATGTGGATAGATTCACTTGTCTGCACTTAGTTTCAGAGTTCGCTTTTTTCATTCTTTTTAATTTATTTGTATTGTTGGAATATGTACAACATTTCCATGGTTCACATTTTAAATCTATATAAAAAGTAAATTGAAGGAAGTCTCCTTTCCATCCTCATCCCTTCTACTCTACTCACACCCACACTAGAGGTAATCATTTTCATTAGTTTTGGTTTATTCTGTTTCTTTTCACAAAAATAAGTAAATATTTCTCTTTTTTACATAAAAAATAGAACACAATACACACTCTGATTCCTTGGGTTTTTGGTTTGTTTGTTTAATTGGCTTGGTTTGTTGTTTGGTTTTTTACTTAACAATATGCCCTGGAAATCACTCTATGCTGCTACATGGAGACCTTCCATAATGATTATTATTATTATTATTATTATATTTTAATTACTGCATTTGACTCACTTCATGACTGGAGGACCATAATTTATTCAACCAATCTCATGGGTTTTTACGTTGTTTCTAATATTTTACTATTGCAAATAAAGCTGTAGTGAATAACCTGGTATAGCTGTTGTCTATCTGTAGAGAAGTCTTCCATGTAACTTCCTGGATCAAGCAGGATATACAGGTGTGGTTTTGTTAGATATTGACAACCCCCCTCCATGGGGCTTGGGCTGCTTTGTCCTCTCACCAGCATTGGATGAGAGACTTCCCTGAAGCCTTGCCTGGACCAAGTACACAGCTAGCTAATGGTGCAGCCGGTACTTGAATCCTGATCTGTCAGCTCCTGATCCACAGCCATGAGCAGACTGCAAAAGCAGAAACACCACATAGCCATTTCTTAGAGAGCTTTTCCCTCTGCCTTCCCATGCCAGCCTCTCTGATCTTGGCAGAAGACAGGGAATTCTCATTTGAAATCTAGGCTCATAATTAAATAGCTCAAACACTGATAGGAGTCCCAGAGAATGGTGTGCCAGAGGGTAAAATCACTCTTACATCTGGAATTGACTATGTGATTTGCTTTGGTCAGTGGGACATTAGCAAATGTAATGCAAGCAGAGGCCTGGAAAGTGCTTGGGACTTGGGGCTTGTCCTCCCTTGCTGCTGGGACTGCCTTGTGGAGAACCCTGGGACCCCTCCTAGAGGACGAGAGAGGATGCCATCCTAGACATCGCAGCCTTCCCAGCTGGGACACCAGTCATGTGAAGGAGAATGTCCTAGACCACCCTGCCCCAACTGAGCAGCCCAGACCAGAAAAACCACCCAAATGATAAAAAAGATCATGAGAAATGAATCATGGTTGTTTTAAGCCACTAAACTGTGGGATAGTTTGTTACACAGCAGAAGCTGACTGATACACTGAGCTCCCCACCACTGTAGCTTCCACCTGTCATGTCCCTTGGTCAGAGTCTCTATTTCAGTGACACCCCACCCCCGCCATCCTTCATTCTTCTAGGACCCTGTCTTGCTTTGTCAATTCTCTCACCCCAGCCCTATCACAGGAGTGGAGTCCTCCCAGTGAACTTCGGCCCAATGGCCAAGACCACATTGTAACAACTCCTTATGGTTTGAAAGGCACTTCTGCATCCAAGACTTTCCCCATCCCCACCATGACTCTGAAAGAGTGACATCATTATCCCCACTTTTCAGAAGAAATAACTAAAGGTCAGAGAGGTTGTTCGACAAAATAAAATCACAGCCAGCCAGTGACTCTTCTATGTTCTTTCTATCTCATCTCATATGGATTAGATCACAGGCCTCCCAGCTGGCAGATGTCCTCACTGGTAACAGTTCACCTGAATTTCTCAATGTCACCTGACTTGGATTGCTCACCTTGGCCTTGCCTGTTGTTGGAACACCTGCTGCTGGATCCAAGTCAGCCCTCCCAGATGTCACCCACCTGCTAGTGCTGCCACCTGTCATCTGAGCCAACCCCCTGGATTTATGATCTGTTGGCCAGATTTGGCTTCCCTCCAGAGCCTTTACCCTCTGGGCTTGTCCCCTCAGGCCCCGCCCCTCCCTGGTCCTATATCTACTCAGCCCAGCCCCTCCCACCCTGTCTGCATAGCCCCAGAGGGGAGAGGCAAGCTCCACTCCACAACGGTAAGGGAAGGGGATTAATAGCTACCAGGGCAGTTCCAACTTGACTATTCCTGAGTTTATGGGCCACTTCACCAAGGGAACCAAGTTTTTACAACTGGATCTTTGATCTGAGTACTTTTGTCTGTTAGGTTAGAAATGCATCTCTGGGGGCGTCTGGGTGGCTCAGTCGTTAAGCATCTGCCTTCAGCTCAGGTCATGATCCCAGGGTCCTGGGATCGAGCCCCACATTGGGCTCCCTGCTCAGCAGGGAGCCTGCTTCTCCCTCTCCCTCTGTCTACCACTCTGCCTACTTGTGCTCTCTGTCAAATAAATAAATAAAATCTTAAAAAAAAAAAAAAGAAAGAAATGCATCTCTGTACACATAATCATTAAAATCGATGAGGAGTAAAAAGCAGGTCCCATCGTCCAAAGCAAATCATGTGGTCAAGCCTAGACTGAAGAATGGAGAAACTCTACCTTTTGATGAGGGAGTGACAAAGTTCCACTGCAAAGGGGCACACGTACAGGGATGGGAGGGATTCTTACTGAGCTCAGAGGTGCGTTTACAGAGATGCACTTCTTGCTCGTCTCACAGCTCAATGGAGAGAAGTCACAGGGTCCCCCTAGGCCACCAGCCTCTCACTGGGAATCTCAGTGTTGAAGAAAGGTCCACACTACCTTCTGTTGTGCTTTATGCATCTGGAACCATCCTGGGAATCTCCTGGGAGGCAATTCTGACCAGCTTATCCCCAAGAACAATTCTGGAGAAGGGAGTTTATGTTTACAGTCTGATCTAGCTCATCAGTAACTTCTCAGTTAGGCTGTGCCGTGAGGTCCCAGGGCAACAGAGTTGGGCTCCTTCCGGAGAACAAGCTCTCTGACAGCTCATTCCCACAGCCCCAGCACCACGTCTGGTATTCGGTGAGCATGCCGTAGATATCCGTCAAACTGAAGATGGATGACTGAGTGAGTGACAGTCATCCAGGCAGCAATCCCCTCACTGGAGAGCTGTTGGGTGGATCAGACCAAGACACTGAAGAAGAACACTATCGAGGGCAATCATGCTTTGGAGGGGGCCCTCTAACCCCGAGATTCTGCCATCCTGAAAGCCCCCTCTTTCATTATCTGTCTCACTGTAGAAGCAACTGCTAACGTGACCCAGAGGTGACGTGGTCTAATAAATCCTACTCTGAAATCAGCTTTGGCAGGTTACAGGTGTGGAGGGTCAAAATGTGCATATTCAGCAATACCACTGCCAAGTGTCCACCCTAGAGAGACCTTCGCACATGCGCAGAAGCAGAGGAATTCGAGGATGCTCCCCGCAGCGCCATCCTGAAGAGTGGAAAATCAACAACGTACCTGTCTCTCAGTAGGAGAACCAATAAATAAATACACCGGGCTCTATTTCGTATACTGGCACACCACACAACAGTTAAAATGAATCTCTCCGGGGCGCCTGGGTGGCTCAGTCGTTAAGCGTCTGCCTTTGGCTCAGGTCGTGGTCCCAGGGTCCTGGGATCAAGCCCCGGGTCGGGCTCCCTGCTCAGCAAGGAGTCTGCTTCTCCCTCTCCCTCTGCCTGCCACTCCCCCTGCTTGTACTCGCTCTCTCTGTCAAATAAATAAATAAATAATCTTTAAAAAAATAAAATAAAATGAATCTATCTGTAGCTACGTCTATACTTATGCCAATAATCATATTACTTATATGAACTAGAAATCTCACAAACCTAAGCGGCTGGCGCTATCTAATTCCATTAAGGAAAGTTTAAAATCCCATAGGCTAGGGGCGGATCGTGTACATCTAAACACATCCATAGGCAAGATAGGCAAACATTCAGGGGTAGGACATCATCAAGCGCAAGCCAGTGGTCACCTAAGGGGAGGGAAAGCTGGGGAAGTGGGACCAAGGAGGGGCACCAGCTGCATCACACTTCTTCTTTCTTACAAAGGCATAGCAAGAACGCAAGACACTGAGGCCAGCATCCCCATCCTGGAGGTGATACTCAGAGGGCTCTTAGGTTTTTTTCCTATACTGTTTGTATTCATTCATTGAGCAAATATTCCGTGAGCACCTACTGTGTGCAGGGCACTCTTCTCGGCCCCCAGGACACAGACAGACACACCTGCCCTGTTCGAGCTCACACTCTCTTTGCTTGAAACATGCTCGATTCCTTGTTTTTATTTTTAACCCATAAATACAATCCTTGACCACTGAATGGAAAGCGTTCTGCCTTTCTCTAATCCCCCCCTCCCACCCCAGTCTGCTCAGGTTTCTCCTCCCAAGAACATTCCACTTTCACCCTCTGCCATTAGCAACCTCCCCGGGGCTTCAGCCATTCCACACATGGAACGCTCCCCATGACCAGGCTGTGTCCCCAGGACACAGCGTCCCCTGCGCAGCTCTCTCCTTCTGGCGGGGCCTGCTCCCCCTCCACACCCCATGCCAGAGCTGGCCACAGCTGTCCTGTGACAGAGTCCCCATCCCTACCCTGTGGAAAAGCTGCCACCTGGCTACCCTCTCCCGCTGTCTCATCACCATCATCGCCAACTTCCTGGTCACCCCACCACCATTCCCGGAGACCCTGAGCCTGCCTCGGTCTTCTCCCACCCCGATGCCCGCTGTACCCTAGATTCCAACGCCACCCCACATGCAAACCTTCCATTTCTGGGTCTCTTGAACATTGCTGACCTCCCCGTCCACTGCAGCCACACCCTAAATTGTCATGTCACCCCCCCACCCCGAGCTGTCCTCCTTGGAAACCTCCCACCTCCCTCTCTCTCTGACCTCTGCCTTCTCTTACAGTTATCCACTCTCTCTAGAGCCCCCAGGCCTTCACCTCCATTTTCTTCCTGCCTCTCTGTCTCCTCCTGGTCCCCTTCCCTGTCCCTCCCAGTCCCGGGCCCCAGAGGTGACACTCTGAGACACTTCCTCTCCCCTGTCCCCTTCACAGCATCCTGGCATCTCAGCCTCCACGGCCCACACCCAGCACAAGACCTGGACCAAAGCCACCCCCTTTACTCCCAGCATCCCGGGACTAAATCATCCCCACCCCAGAAACTCAGGCACCTGCCACGGCCAGTCTGGGGCTCTGTCCATCCTGCTCCCTGGCTTTGGTGGCGTCCCTCTCCCCTCCCTTCAGCGATTAGTCGAGTCTTCATTCCCAAATCCACTGGTTCAACCCTGATCCCTAATTTCCAGCAGACAACTTCCTCCCTTCTCTGAAAAATCTGAGCAAGTAGACATGATTCCCTGGAGCTCCACTGCCTCTACCCCCAGGAAAGGGGGCGCCCTTCTACCCCATTCCCACCCCCCCAACCCTGCCTCTGAGCTGATGGTGGCATCAGCCTCTTACTTCCCTTGTACAGAATCCTGAGCGCCTTGCTACGCCCACCCCTCACCTTCCACACCCAAACATCAAGCATTGCCAATTCACTTCCTAAATACTTCTTTCATCCTCCCCTCCCTCAAGCCCTAGGTTTACCACAGGTCTAGTTCAGGGTCATCCCCAACTCTGGCCTTTCCAGCTCCAGCCATGACCCTCCAACCATCCTCCATGTGGCTGCCAGAGGGATGCTCCTAAAACGTCCATGTCCCATCATCACGCCCCTGCTTAAAACCCACGAAAGTTTCCACGTCACTCACAGGACATCACAGGACAAGGCCCAAGCCCCCAGCACAGCCCCCAGTGCCCTCCACAACCTGTGGGCATGTCTGCAGCTTACACTCCCTGTCTCGTACCTGAAGCTCCAGCCTCACGCCCCCCAGACTTCTGGCTTTTTCTCACCTCTGTTTCTGCTCAAGCTCTTCCCTTGGCCCCAAATGCCCTCCCCCTCCTCCTCAGGCTTCCAGACTCAGCTCAAGCGGCCCTTCTTCCAGGAAGCCTTCCCTGGCTACCCCAGACCAGGTTAGGCATCTGTCCTTTACGTTCCTAAAACACCTATTGCATCTGCCTCTATCATGGCCATTACCAAATTGTTTAATAACTTTCTCTCTTAGTGAGTTTCTCGCCCACCTGAAGCATGGCAGGTGACCTTAAAAAGAAATCTGCACAAAATGTCCAAAGGCAGAGGGGACAGGCAGGAAGAACTCTTGGAGAGTCCAATGCACAGGCACCAGTCCCACCCCCCACCAGCTGGCAGTCACACGCATCCTCATGGGCTTGTCCACACTCCCACCGGCCAGGCACGGGACAGCCGGCCACCTGCAGTCATGAAGACTCATCACCTGGGCACGGATATTCATGCAGAGCCCCTCCACGGGTATTCTGGGCCACATGCCCCGTTCCTGGGCACCCTATGGCCAACACCCCATAAACTCCCTAGGCCCACCTCCCTGGAGCACTGTACCTTGGCCAGGGATCTCACTATGGGACTTTCCATAATGCCTCGAAGAAAGATCAGGTCCAGTTCTGCAGCTCCCGTGGCATTGGGGAGCGATCCGAGGTTGTCCAGGACTTGCTGCATGGCTGGGGAGAAGGGACGGGCAGTGAGACACAGGAACCAGCTGGGCACAGGAGACCAAAACACACCAGAGCCATCCCACCCCTCCTACCCCGTGTCCCACAGAAGACGACCCCCCTCCAGCAGCACTTCCCCCCTGCCCAGCACGGGCACTCCCGGCCCCTGAATGCCTGGGGCAGGGGTCTAGGGGTGAGGGAGGGGGACAGTTTCCTTGACCTGTCCTCTAGGCCCTAGGTAATGCCAACCTGGCCAGGTGGGAGGGTCTAGGGAGCAGGAAATGGACTCTGAGGTGGGAGGAGGGGAGAAAGGGAAGCAGTTGTCAGGTTCCAGGTTCTGCCCTGAACCAGAGAGCCACAGACTCCTCGCTTGATCTCTGGATGGGCTGAAGTCCCAGGACTCAGCCACCTGCACCTAGGGGGCTCAGGGATAGGAGAGAGAATACTTGGAGCGTGTCCCTGAGTGTAATCAAGCAGGCAGCCATGCAGGAGGCCAGAGTACAAATAGCACCACTAATTCCGTGCGATTTTCCAAAAGTCACGGTCCCTCATTGGCCTCAGTCTTTCCCTCCTGTAAAATGGGTGAATGGAACTAGACAGGGTCTACAGGCCCTTCAGCTCTGACAGAGAGTGATCTATTATCATTGAGAAGTTACTATAGATCAAAGGAAGCCAAAGATGCGGCCCAGAACATTGACAGGAGCTGGGGAGACAGGCACCCTGGGGTGCTGTGGGCACCAAAGGGCAGAGGTTAGACCAAGTCAGCCCAAGGATCAGCAACCTCTCAGCCTGGCATGGGACATACCCAAGGATGTGAGAACACCTGACACTGGGCTACAGCAGTGGCTGCTGAGGTCTGAGGTAGGGCTTGTCTGTACCCACCCACGGAGGTGGGAGCTCCTGGCTGTGGCAGGTTCTGGGGGGAGGAAGGGAGGAGCAGAGTGTGCCCAGCTGGGGGCAGAGATGGGCAGGAGGTATCATTACTCTGCCACCCAGCCACCCACGCCTGCATCTACATAACAGCGCTCGAGCCGTGGAGGGGGCCTGGGTACAGTCCCTGGCTCCTCTCACTACTCTTGTCAGTGCCCCCTCCTCCAGGAGGGAATAGGGATGGGGAGGAGGGGGCACTGAAACTGGAGAAGCAGACATGGCTTAGGGATCCCCTCTTCCCCTCCTCCTCCCCACCTTCTCCAGAAACAACATCTAAGCCTGCCCTCTAGACCCCTCCTGCCCAGGCCTGGGCTTGGTATTGATCAGACACCTGCAAGGCCCTTCGTGGCCTCGGAAAGAAGCCAGGGCAGGGACCCTTCCCACTCTGCCAGGGTATCCTGGGATCCACCCTCCCCAACCATCCTCACCTACAGACTCACAAGCCTGTCAGCCTTGGAGGAGGACAGAGCCCGGGGGGAGTTAGTGCCCTCTGCCCAGGCCCGCTCCCTTAGGCTCCCGAGGGCCCGCTCCCGGGGCACCCTCTCCAGATGCCCAAACCCCGAGGAAGGAGGGTAGATGAAGGGGCCAGCTTTCCCCCCGCCCCGCCCCCAGCCTCCCCACCCCGCCTTTCCCTACCTTCCCTCCGGAGATCAGCTTCCTCAGAAGAGCCCAGGGATACACCCTCCAAGGAGGCCCCGCTGCCTGGGCTGCCCGCCATGGTGGCCCCCCACCCCCGGTTCCGGGGCTCCTGGTAGTAGCCTCCACGCAGCTGCCGCTGCCTTGCCAGCCCGAGAAAGGCAGCGCTCCAGGAGGCGGGACTCGGGGAGCGCCCTCTGCAGGATCAGCCAATAGCAAGGCTCAGTCTCCCTGACCGCCTTGCTGATTGGCCAAAGCCCCGCCTGGAGCAGCCGGGTGGGGAGGAGGCGGCACAGGAGCTGAGAGTGGGGCGGTGGGAAAGAGAGTCCCGGTCCTCCCGGGGCCCGATCCCCCCACCCCGTGTTCGCACCAGCGGGGGTCAGGAGGGGGCGGCTGAGGGGAGGTCTGCGGGGCAGGGGGTTAACCCCCGCTGCCCCTTCAGAACCGAGGCGGTGCTCAGAGACGCCCCCTCTCACAGTCCAGGGGCGGGAAACCCAAGGCGGGGTGGGGATTTGGCCCCAGCTTGTTCCCGCCCCCCCCCACCTTCTGGAAGTCTCTCCTCTAAAACATGCATGCCACTTCCTCCTCTTGCCCTCAGACCTCTACGTTCCTTCTCCAGGCGCCGTTTCCTTTACAATGCCCTCCTCAGGATCAAAGGAAGCCCCCAAGAATGACTCTCAGTCCTGGGCCAGGAGCAGGGGCACCACTTGGGCATTGGGCAAATACCTCAAGCCCCAAATACCTCCCCCTACCTGCTAGCCATGGGGGGCGGAGGTAGGGGGGACAGGGAGGAAAAGGAGGGGAAGGGAGCGGCACCACCCTGGGCTGGGAGGGGAGCCTCACAGTCTGACCCCTCATCTCAGCAGCGGCCCCCCCTCTCCCCCATCTCGCACTAGCTCCTCCCCTTAGGTCAGGGATGGTGCCTGGTAGGCAAGTCTGGCATCTTGGAAGGCAAAAGGTGAGGGTGCATTCTTGCATCAGGGACCCCGGTGGGCAGGAGCAAAGGACTTGGCAGTTACCCCAGCCCAGGGCCTCCATTCCTCTGATACCCTGTACCATGAGGACACCACCAGCTGCTGCTGCCACCAGACAGCCATTCCCTGAGGAGTGGCACCAGGTCGAAATGCACCCCTGGTTGCCATGGCAGCAGGAGGGATTACACACCAGGACATTAACCCAGGGATGCAGGAGAGATTTAAAGGGACAGCTCCACCTCAAAATGGCCCCCATCCCAGCCGTGATCCAAAGAAAAGAGGGAGTCAAGTAAAGAGGGCAGAGAGGGTAGGGCTCCAGGTCTGGAGACTCCCGGGGCAAGTTCTCTGAACACTCAGTCCATGCCATAGCCCACATATCCCTCAGCCTGTCCCCAACCCTCAGGAAAGGGCCCCTCCACTTTACTAGAAGTAGAGCTGGGTCTCTCTGCAAGAATACACTCATACCATCTCCCCTCCACAATGACAGTGGCCATGTTGACCCATAGGGAAGAGAATTGTTGGCTTCACCCTGCAGATCCCAAGGCTAGAATCTCCCTGGGAAGGGAGCGGGGAGAGGGAGGGTGACCCTGACCTCAGAGGCGGGTGACCCTGACCACAGCTATCTCTCCTATAGGGCCCGTAGGAAGTGTAATGGCCACCAAATGAAAAGAAGCAGGCCCATCATTAGATTTTTGATGCCAGGAGCCAATCCAGCCTAGGATGGGGGCAGAGAGGGCCGCCTGCAGGAAGGGCCAAGAGACTCATAGCTTGGGTCACACATCATCTTTTTACAGAAGAGGAAACTCAGGATCCTAGAGGTTAAGCAGCTAGTTCCTGTGCTCCTTCCTTTGGATATGGGAAGGCAGAAGTAGCCCAGGGCATAACACCCAGGGGATCAGGGGCCCCAGGGGTCCTCAGAGGAAGCAGGCCCTGGCCTCCACTCCCTGCCTGGACCCCACTCTACCCCCACCATGCCCCCATCAAGTGGCCTACAGCAGGAAAGTCAAATTCTCCCCCCTCTACACCCCTGCCAGGCACTATTAATGGGTTTACTGGGCAGCTCCAGATCGAGAGGCCTTTAATCACAGGCTCAGAGATGGGCTTAATTAACCCCTAAGCAGCTTACAGTGGGGCCCAGGCAGCCTGGAGCAGGGGAAGAGCCCAGGGGGCTCAGCAGGCTGGACACGGGGTGGGGGCACTGAGCCCTCCAGGCTGCCAAAGCTGGGGACCATTAGTACAGTTCCTTCACTATATGGAGAAAAGGTCTTTCTTGGAGGGCAAGGGTATCACAGTTTAGGGTCTAGCCCACCCACAGCAGCCTTCACTGTCCTGGCTCACTTTCTCGGAGGGGAGGGACAGGAGAGACATACTAACCAAACTGGGAGGCCTGGAATGGCTTGCAGAGGCAGCAGCAGGCTTGGAGCAAGGGAAGGGGCTGCACGGGCAGGAGGCATCCAGGCAGGGGAATGTCAGACAAATCAGAGCGAACCCGGAGCCAACTGCAGTGTGAGGGCCCATAGCCTCTAGCATAGGGATCTGCAGCTGGGAGGTCCTGACTGCACACGGGGTCCATGAACCCCCAAAGTGGAATGCAGATGTTGTGCATAGAGAAGCATTTGTCTATGAGGAAGGCCCACAGCTGTCATCAGATTCTCAAAAAGGAATCCAGGACCAAGAAAATTTAAGAACACTTCTCTTATCCAATCACCTCATCTTACAGATGGGAAAGCCTAGGTCCTAAAAAGGACCTCAAGGCACAGGCTAATTGAGGTAATAACCCAGCAGCAGAGCATAACTGTGAATACTCCTATCAGGAATATTCTTTCCGCATCATAGCCTTAGAGTTTCACATCAACCTCTTTATAGAAGAGACACAGGCCCCAAGGGGTAAGAAATTTGCTCCTGAGGCTTCCTAGCTCATCTGGGCGACCCGCTCCCTTGCCTTACAACCTCCCACAGAAGCAAGTGCAGGCTTCCTGAGCTGGCATTCTCCATGCACACAGCCACACACCCATCTCTGGCACATGCTGCTTTACTCTACCCATCTGGTGGCTGTCCTCCACCCCCAAGCCATCCTCCAAGGGCCAGATCCTAAGGGCCACCTCACCAACCAGCCTGGCCCCAGGTCATTGCCCTCTGGCAATACTGCGGATCATCTCTGGAGCGTGTGTGCCTCTGCCCTCCACGGAGATGAGTTGAGCTGTGTCTCTGGCCGCACCCTGGAGCAGGTGCAGTGGGGGCCATAGAAGCTGCCTGAAGGAAAGGCTGAGTGGCAGGATGGAGCAGCGGTGGGGGAAGGGTTATTCTCACAGGTGGCTGCCAGAGTGCCTGATGGCTGCCGTTCTCCCCCCTCAAGTCCCTGCCTGGCACTTCTGGAACCACAGATACAAACGGACATCCTCAGCCCCTTCTTACCAGACTCAGAGTTGGTGGCAGCAACTGGCATGGTGAGGTCTGCAAAGGCCCTGAAATGTCTCTCCTGGAGGAGGGAAGAGAAAAGAATGAGAAAGCACAATGGCAAAGCAATGGGGGAAGGAATTAGGAAGGGCCTCCCCTCAGGATCAGGGCATTCCCCAGAGACTGCATGATCCCACAGTCCTGGGAGGCAGGAAGAGCAGATATTACATGTCCTTTTCTCCCAGGAGGAGGAGATCGGAGGATCAGAGAAGTTAATTGCTTTGCCCAAGGTCACGAAGCTAATAAAGAGAGCTACATTGAACACCCAGGTTTTATGACTCTTTAAAAAAAAATTGTGTTTCTGCCTGCCATTTGTCCTTTATTTATTTTGGGGGTGGTAGGAGTCCAGAATTTGAGTCAAAAGCAGGAAAGAGGAGCACTCCCAGACTGTAAGCTCCATGAAGTCAAGAACTACATCTGTTTTGCTTCTGGATCCCAACCCTAGCCAGTGTGGATGCTCTACAAACATTTGTCTGTCTGGCTGACAGAAATGAAGTCATACTTTCCCGAGGCCTCTCTGACTTCCTCTTTCTCCCTTTGCCCCTTCTTAGTGCAGAGCTGGGACAAGGAAAGCCCGGGGCTCCTTATTCTCCAGGGGAGGGTGCAGGGGGGCACCGCTACCCTTCTTCCCCTTGCCTTCCGGGGCACTTACTGCTGGAGAAAACCCTAATTCCCAGTTGCCATGACAACTAGAGGCAGTGGCTCACAGCAGGGGTGAGGAGAGAAGAGCGAAGCAGCTGGCAGCGCCCACTTTAAGACTGAACGCCTGCTGGGCCCCCGGGGGTAGGGAGCCACAACTTCCCCTCCCCCTAAGAAAGGATTCTACCCAGAGGGACCATCACCAGGTTTTAAGAAAACCCTCTCTAGCCCCATCCCTTCCGCCCCCAGGCCAGAGCTGCTCACCTGAGCTCAGGTAGCAGAAATTACAAAGGTTGGGGGATGACTCCCTTTCTTCCTGGGTCTTTCCCTAAAGACGTGGAAGAAAGGAGTTTTCAGGGAAAAGAAGGGCACCCCCGTCAGGCTAGCACCCAGGCTGGGAGAAATGCCCAGATCTCCTGTGCCAAGCCCTGCTGTCCCTATGCCTTCCCTCCTCCCCCACCCAAGGTCTTGACCACCTGGAACCTGGAGCCTTCTCCTGGCTGTTGCTGTTCTCCCTGACAGTTACTGGCAGGGGGGACTCCAGACATCCTCCTTCCTTAGAGACTGGAAGGTGAGAAGAGGCAGGGAGGATCCTGTCCCCTGGAGTCTTGCCCAGCCTGCCTGGGTTTTTCTCTGGGTAATCAGTTCCCACAGCGTCGGCTAGCTCTTCCCCACCCCCACCCCGTCCTCTGGGAGGGCGGGGCCTGGCTTGTGCCCGCAGGAGAACAGCAGTGCCAGGCAAGCCAGCCTGGCTACGGGCCAAGGTCCGGGGCCCAGGCTTCTGGGAACGCGCACCTCGGCTTCCAAACGCCTGGGCCTCGGTGTCTTCTCACCCCTACCTCCAGACTATCCACACCACCCAGGGTCAGTAGGTGATGCGGACCAGGCGCGAAAGGGGGAGGTTTCCTCCAACCTCCCACCCACCCATCCCTCCATTAATACACGTACAAAGAGATGTTGAAGAGAAAGGTCTGACAAAGGCGCTTTGAAGACCGATAGGTCGTGGGGAGGGGTAGACAGACTGAGGGATGGGGGGGGGGTGCGTCTAGAGACGTGCGGACCTGCACGCACGGACTATCGGATAGCCCCCGCCCCACGAGCCGGGCCCTAACTGGCTGGGCGCTAGGACCTGGGGGGAAGGGGGGGCGTGTTGCGAGCCATCAAAGAAGGCTCTTTGCGAGCGCGCCCGCGGGAGACCAGGGGATGAGGTCACTGAATGGATGCCCCCCCGCCCCCGTCCTCACTCTCCCTCCCCCCCCATAGTTGACCTAACTTTTTGACCCCGGCTCTACTCTCCTGGCACCGATCCGCCCTCAGGTCTCCAGACCCTAACCCTGGCCCCCGACCCCGACCCGCCCTCCCCACAGCCTGGGAGGCGAAAGAAGCAGTGCGCCCCCCTTCCCAGGACCCCCTCCCAGGGAAGGTTGAGGTGTTGGCCTCCCAAGAGGGCCGGGGGGGGGCACCGGGACCCACGCAACCTCTGTCGCGCGCCCCCACCCCCCGGAAGCGCTAACAGCGCGGTTCTTACGTAATGCCCGGCTCCAAAGTCCCCCGAATCCGCACAGCCCCCGAAGAGGCCTCGCGGATACCGGAGCCTCGCACAGCTCACCAGCTCTGTGCGCGATGTTACTCCGGAGCCCTAACCGCGCGGGCCAGCATCAAGAAGCAGCGGGGTCTGATTTCTCCCTAGGAGCCCCCGAGAAAGGAGGGAGGCGGGAGGTGGAGAGGGAGGGGACCGGCCTGAGGGAAGGGGCCGGGGGAGACCCGACCCAGAGAATAGGGCTGTGCCTGGACGAAGAGGAAACAAGGGGCCCTGGGGTGGGCGCTGGCCCGGGAGTCGGGGGGCGCCTACCTGCGCCCCGGGCAGCCCCTAGCTCCGTGCGGCTCCAGCGCAGCCCCGCGCTCCGCGTTTATTGCTTGTCAATCGCTACCCCGGCTCTTAAAGCGGCGAGGCCTCCTCTGCGCGAGGGGGCGGAGACCGAGAGGGGAGAAGAAGGGAGGGGGATCTGGATGCAGCTCGAAAAGCCGGAGAAAGTCGTCTTTCCGTGCAGCTAGAGGGTAGGCGGGGAGGTAGTGGTTTGGGAGAAACCTCACAGCCCAAGATCCCCTGCTCGCTTTCCACTCGGGGAAGCAGGGGCTAGGATCCGTACCCACTACTAGCGTCCCTCGGCGCCCAGCGATCCCTTAAAAGGGCGATGGTGAAAGATTACTCCGCTCCCTTCTCTCAGCTTAGAGCCGCGGTTCAATTCCGGGCGTGCCTCACCTTTCCCCGTTATCCTGTTTCCCAATTAGGAAAAGGAACAGGAGGAGTTTAGGGAGATCCCCAAGGGGCAGGAGACCCATCCCCATAGGGTCTCGGGCTCAGGGGCAGCTTCGAAGGACTCGAATGGTGGATAGCTGGATCCCAGAGTCTCTGGAAGAATTTGCAAAGACGGGGGAAACGTCTTCCAGAGGGAATTCGAGATCTTATTTTAAGTCTGGATGGGAGAGCTGGTCCATACCCCCTGCTTACGGAATACGGAAAGAAGTAACTCGCTATCCTTCTTCAGAGTCCCATCTCAAGAAGTAAATAAAGTGTTAAACCCAGTTAGGTGTCTGCCTTCGCCAGCCTCCAGCTCCACCCCAGACCTGCTGGTAAAAGATAGTGTGTGGCCTTGGAATACTTGTAGGTTCAGCCTGGAGACCACCCTCTGCTCAGACAGCATATGGGGCCAGCCACGGTACTTCTCTGACCTCAGTGTCCCCCAACCCCTCTAAGTGTCTTCCAGAATATGCAGAGATCATCCCTCTTTCTTGCTAGCTGGACTCCTAAGACCAGAAATGGACCACAGCGCCTGGCTGGCTCAGTCGGGGAAACCTATGGCTTTTGATCTCTGGGTTGTGAGTTTGAGTCCCACTTTGGGTGTAGAGATTACTTAAAAATAAATTTATTATTATTATTAATTATTATTATTATTACGTAGGCTCCAGGCCCAACATGAGGACTTGAACACACAACCCCGAGACCAAGAGTAGCATGCTCTACAGCCAGGCACCCCCAAAATAAAATCTTTTTTTAAAAAAAGAAATAAAATGAAAGAGAGGAAGGGAGGGAGGAAGAAAGGAAGGGAGGGAAATGGAAATGGACTGCGTCCTAGAAACTTGCTTGGAAATCTCAGAAATGGGTTTTACTTGGGAATCCATCCAGGAAGCAGGGGACTGGTCCCCAGGGCCCCAAGAGACTCAATTCACCCCTGAGCTCTGGAGGGGATAAATTTGGGTATATAGATATAGGGAAAAGCCATAAAACCAGGCCAAACTCTGCTGAAAGGCCTGGCGCCTCTGAGCTCCCCCCACCCCGTTACTGAGGGAGGAGAAGAAAGTTAGTTAGCGACCCCACATGGTGGAGACTGGAATTGCAGGTTTCTGTTTCCAACCTGAGGCTTGAGGGAGCACACTGTTTCCAACCCTCTCCTCAGCCCTCCAACCAGAAGATTCTCCTAATTCAACTCAGAAAAAAAGTCCCCTTCCCATTATGAAGGCTACCCTCCACTGTCACCTGTCCACCTCTGGGCAGAGAATCACTCAACTAATTGCATTGGGTTGGGAAGTGGAAGGATCTTGAATCCCTCTGAAATATTAATTACTTCTTCTCAATCAGGCAACTACTATGCCACAGCAACCCACAGCAAACCTTCAATCCCATTCAGGATCCCCAAGACAAGGTGGAATCCCAGATTCTGGCCCACTAGGGAGGTGGAATCCAATTCGTTATTCTTACAAACTGCCTCCCCACCCACGCCCCCAGTAACTGTCAGTCGACGGGTATCAAGTATCTCTCTAAAAGGGCCTTACAGAATGCCAGCCCTTCACATCTTTTCAGGACCTTACAGTTGATAAATTGTTTGATTCTCCCAACAGCCCAGTGAGGTTCCGGTGTGGGAAGAAGAACTTCTTGATGCAGAGTACCATGCTCCTATTTTGTTTCAGACAAGGTGCCAGCTTCAGTAGTACCAAGTCGAATATCAGAGTCATTGGCTCCTGATCGCCTGGCTCTGAGTCTAGGGTGTTGGTCAAGGAAGGTGGGCGGTGTCAGACACAAAAAGGACTTTCTGGTGGTATAGTTGAGCGTCCTACCAGAGGTGCAGTAAGTGGGCCCCAAGGAATGAGAGTGCTACTGGCGGGAAATAGAGTAGCTGAGAAGGGAAACAGGTTGGAGGGGTCCAAAATGCATCCCATGGCAGTTAGCGGCTGCCCCTTGGGGTGGGGGGCCCGGGTGCAGAAGAGTGGGGGAGGCCGGGGGGGATAGCGTCCTCTCCCTCTGTGGTCTGTAATTAGCTCAGTCTGCCTTCCTGCCTCCTCAGATCACAAGGGTGCAGTCAGTGTCTCTGCTTCCCCTAAAATCAAGGGTTTTCCTCTGGTGGATGTTCGTCGCAGGGCTTTGAGAGTCAGGACACGGAGAGAAATAAAACTCAAAGCGGCTGTTCTGAATTTCTAGCAGATCTGGCGTGGTATAGAGTGATGTTGCGCTCGCGATAACGACCAGCAGGGGCCGCCAACAGCTATCGCAAGTCTACACCCTCACGTCGCCCTGACCCCTGCAACTCGCCAGTCTTGTTCTGGAAACCTTTTCTCTTGGATGTACCTCTCAATGGGGAAAAAAAAAAAAAAGTTTGAAACTCTCACTGCATATATATATGCAGTCACATTACCTCTCTGAGCCTCAATTTTTTCATCTATACAATGGGGATAACCCCCGCCCCCCAAGGGAGAGGACCCATGTAGAGTGACTGTCACAATACAAGGAACACAGAAGGTGCTCCATAAATGCAGCTCCCCTTTGGGTCCGGGTTGAACAGGCTCTAGCTGGGTGCCATCTGGGCAGTGGGTGTTTAGTCTCTGTCCCTGGATATCTGGTGTGCCCATAACTGACCTCAGGTCCTCCTGGGGCAGGCAGGGGCGCATCCCAGGGCTGCTGGTTCCACAGGTATCTGGTATGGATAGTATGTCCTCTTCCCGCTGCCCACACAAGCATTAGTGGCATCTTGCCCGGTCCCATCTGTGCCACCCACTTTTATCCTCTCCTTCCTCCCCTGCTCCCACCAAGTTGCCAAGGGCTTTGCTGTGGACACTGTATAAGGGGGCCAGGCCTAGGTAGCCCATCACCAGAGCAGAGGGATGAGCTTGCAAAAGGCAGTGCAGACCCTAAGAGTGAGAGGGAGCCTTGCTAGCCCCCCCAGTAACCCAATATCCACTGCTGGAGACCCTCACAAGCCAGTGATGCCTCGGAGCCCTCTTGTAGACCTGGAGAGGGCAGGGGTGAGGGGTCAAAGGGAAGAGAGTGGGGGGAGGCTCTAGCCAGTGGGAATGCATGCCCTGAGGACTGTGTGAGGCACTCCAGTTGTTGTTTGGAGACAGAAAGAAAGCAGACAGGAGCGTCCCCACTAGGACTGGTGACCTGGAAGAGGTCACCACGCACGCACATACGCACACACGCCCTGTGCTGCTTCCCACCCCCTGTGCCCTGGGCCAAGGGAGCACTTGTAGAGTGGGTTGGGGCAGAGACGGAAGGGACAGGGACAGGGGCTATGGAAAGCATTAGGGCAGCTTGCTGGGTGACTTCAGGCAAGTCGTTTGGCCTGGGCTGGGTAATATCCACCTCACAGACTCCGCGTAGCCAGGAGGGGGTGACCCATACAAAAGTGCTTTGTGAGCCATGGCAGGGGAGCAGGGTTACCCAGGGCAGGCCCTGGCCATGCCCCTTCCCAGGAAAGCAGGGAGGTCCCAGTCCCAGAGCCATTCTCTGCCCCTCCCCTGCCACACACAGCAAAAGCTCTTTCGCCCTCAGCCCTGCTTGGTGCCAACTGCTCAGCTCCAAGCCTCCCGGCCGGAATCTTCTCTTGCCCTATGCATTGGGGTTTAGCCACCCTGGGCCCACGCTGTGCACCTCTCCTGTCTGAGGTGCCTGAGGGCAGAGTGGGGGACCTCCTATCCCTCCCACAGGGGCTCCAAGGCCTCTGGCTTTTCCATCTCCGGCTGCCTGCTCTGTGCTGCCGTGGGGAGCAGGTGGGCCCTGAGAGGGGGAGAAGTCCGATCATCTCTGCCTCCCGCCACCACCATTGCCCTTCTCCAGGCCAGAGCCCTTGGGGGCAGGGCTGCCCTGTCACCTCCGTGGCTACAGAGCGTGGGAGGGCTCACCATCCCCCGAAGCAGACTGGGACTGTGTGGGTCCAGTGCAGCAGGCCTCAGGGTCTGTGCTGGAGGTGCAGGGAGTGGGGGACATGATGAGTGCTTATGGCAGGAACCCCCTGGGCGTGCCCCTCTCCATCATCCCCTGCCCCGCTCAAAGACCAGCAAAAGGATATGCGCAGGTGGCCGTGTTCCCCCAGGAGCTCTGGGCCTTCCTGAGCCAGGCGGGCGGACACCTGGGAGACATGCACAGCACACGCGGACGGCACACCCGAAGGGCCTGAAGTATGCGCAGGGACGTGTCCGTGGGTGTTTATGCGCGCGTGAGTGGGTTTGTGATTGTCTGTGTGTCTGCATGGATGCACAAATGGGGTAACTGTATGCTGTGTCTACGCACACACACGTGTCTGCACGTGTAGCCTGTGTGGGTCCGTGTGCTGTGTGTGTGTTTGTATGCACACGCGCGTGCATATGTGAGTTAGGGGAGTGCCAGTCTCTGCTACTGTGGAATTCTGAGCACCCTCCCCAGCAGCCCAAACCTGCTTCCCCCATTGCGGTTTTGGGGCTGGGGATAGGAGGCGGAGGAGGAGACCTCCCGAGGACCCTGAAAGTCTCCCTGGGCCCCTCACTGCCCTTCTCATGCTGACCTTCTCATGCTGACCATCTCCTTTCCTGACCCCTCCTCCTCAGCCCCCCACGACTCTGTTTCCTATCCTCACTTTCTCCCTCTCTTACTTACTAGGATCTTAGGT